GATAGAGAAAATTTGTAGTGCCAATATCTACAACAATAATTTTTGAATTGCTTAAGACTGCTATTAGCAAGCCTTTAGGCCCATCAAATGTGTAAAATAACACTTATTAATCATTTAGATTCAATGTTTATTGTTTATAATTCTGATAATTCATAAAACAAAGCTGATTTCCTTTATTTAAAACAAGTGTTTGCTATTCATCTATTAAAGATATCTGCGAAGGTTATCCTACATTGTAGCTTAGGTCGTTGATTAAATTAAGGTTATTGTTGTCATATTGATATATCTTTTTAAAAAAATATTATATCTTATTGTTCAAGTAATATACACATTAATATTAAAGATATCAATATTATTGAAATTAAAAAATACTATTTACCTAAATCTTCTATTACTTGACTGAAATTAGAGTTAAAGCTTAGCTAAGATAAAAATATGATATAACCTAATCAGTATTATTTTGTAAATTTATTTATTAATTACTATCTCCACTTGAATAAAAGTAATTGAATAAACATAGATATCCATTAATTTTTATTAAGATTTGTTATTTTTATTCTAACAAAATGATTTTACCATTGATAGAACCATTTTGTTGAAGTACTCCACTAAATATTAGTGAGTGATCTAAACTGCTATCAAGCTTGTATATTACATATTATGTTGTTTGTATTACAAATCCTATGATAAGCTTATTTTGCTTGTCTTAAATAAGTACAAAATCTTAGAGATTGCTCTATCCAAAAGGACTTATTATATTATCTATTAATAGTCCAAGTAAATAATCATAGATTACTATCAAAGTTTAGCCAGTGGCCGTATAAGTTTAGTATTGCACGAGCTTTACATTTAAATTAGTTTTTAAAAATTTTTAATGGGTATACCAAAATATGAAGTTTAATTTTTACACTTCAGCAATTAAATTGTTGTAAATGCAGAGAAGAAGAATTTAATTCATATTTTTTTTTTTTTCTAAATTAGATTAGTTATAATAAATTTTTATTTTTAAAAAGTATATTTAAGTTATTGTTTTTATTTTTAAAATTTAAATTTACATTTTTAATTTTAGAGTAGTTTTATTTATTCATTTATTATAATAAGAGCTTTTTTATTTGTTTCAAAAAAACTTTAAATTATTTAAAAACCATAAAATTTGTTTAGTTTTTTTGAACTATCTCTTATTTAATAAATCTCTAAATATTTTCATTAAATTTATAAAGTAAATTTAATTTTTTTTTGGAAAAGAATGAAAGAAATGGGGGGAAAATATTTTATATTTATTTTACAAAACAATTTATAATTTGTTTATAGTTTTAAATAAAATAATATTTTTATTTTAGTCAGCGATTAGTTGGTTACTTGATTATTAATTTAACCGATAAAGCTAAATTTTATTTATAATTTTTATACTAATCAAATTAAATGGTTTTTTTTTTAAATTATTTTCAATTTTTTATTCGAATTGGATAAAAACTTTTAACATCTTTGATAATGATAAAATTAAATTAAAATTATTTATTTAATTAATAAAATTTATAGAAAATTTATGAATTAAATTAATTATTTGCTTCCGCAGATACAAGAATGTAAATACTGGAAATATGATAATGTTAATAGAAAATACATTCTTATAAAATTATTAAAAAAATAACTTACTTTATTGATTGACTTATCTATAAAAAATATAGTGTCATGGTTAATTTAGGTTATTTATTTTTCAAGTTAGTTGTCAAACAATGACCAATACTATATAGTTCCTGCTTAATCAGATTTAACTATTCTAATATATTTTACCATAAATTAAACTTTTTTATAAATGAAAAAATTACCTATTAAAATCAGAGTCAATTTAAAGTTATTTAACTATATCATAAGATGATTAGGCTGATTGAAAGGAGTCCATGAAATAAATAAATTTAGATGTATTAAGATCTAAAGTAGAAACAGAAGCTTAGAAACACACCACTACTTAATTCTCAACTACAAAAGCTTGCATCCATTTAAGTGTTGTTATCTTAAGAGCTTAATTTTTAAATAAAAGAGGACTTTTCTCTTCTAATGAGTATACAAATACATATTTATCAGAAACAATTGATATTTGGTTTCTTTGATTAATAGATCCAAAAGTAAAATTAATTGTAGAGTCTACTGAGGTTTAGTTTGCATCTCTTTGATCACAATATATTTTTTAGAAATCTGCTTGATATACTAAGATATTTTATTCAATTGACCATACCTAAAATAAATTTGACTCTCCTATTATTATGATAAAATCTTCTTCTTAGCTAACCAATACCTATGTTGAAACTGAGGGAAAAGTATTCTAAAATTGTAGAACTGAGTTTTTATATGAAGACACATAGAAAGACCCATTTTATGAAGCATATGTTATAGAAATTTAATTTTTGGTTGCGTAAATTGACTAAAAATTAACAAATTTTTCTATTTAAAATAGCTTTTCAAAAAGTTAGCTGATAATATCAAATGTATATAGACCTCCTTAAGAATCAACAAGCAAAAATCTTCTGTTTGCCTTATCGCTCACACACTAAATTATCTAAGCTTAATCCAGCTAAATTGTAGTTATTTTTGAATCAGAAATGGTTGAAGATGAATAATCGATGATAAAGAGCTATTATTAATATTAAAAATAAAATAAATAAAATTTAAAGTTAAAAAAAAATACATTTGATGTATCCCATGTCACAACTATTAGTTCTTCAGAATTTAAACATGATTTAGGATTGATTTAAATTTAGGAAGGAATTTAAATAGTATTTTGTTTAGATCCGTTTCCTGAGTTCCATCCAATAATTCTTCCTTTAGCATCTAGGGTATGAATAATAGATACTTATAGGTTTTATCTATCATCTTTATCAATTTGGTAGAATTGTACATCTTCTGACTATTCAATGGTTGTGTACTTAACATTTTTAACAAAATTAAAAATGCCAACAGTGAAAGGATAGTAGACAACAGCAGCAATATCTTGAAAATTTTGCTGAGGATCTGATTTCAAAAGTATCATAGTTTGTATTTGCGGAGAGTAGGATGAGGCTCCTAATATCCAAAAAGGGCATCCTATTGCCTTAACTAGAGTTAATTAAGAGAAAAGAAGGCAAAGCTTTAATCTTATTAGCAATTTTATCTTTACTGAAATCATTGTTATTTAAATTTTTTTTATGTTATTTATAACAAATAAAAAAGTTAGACAGGAGATAATTAATTTAAATAGCAGTTATTTGAAATATAATATACAACATTTGAATTAAATAAAAAATTGCAATGCAAATTAAGAAAAGAAAAAAAATAAACAATTGAAATTTATTTTCATTTTTGATTATGTAATTTAAATGTAATATTAATAACCAATAAAAATTAATAGTCAATTATTATTAATTTAGTAAAATTAAAAAGAAAAAAAATATAAATTATCATCATAACGATAAACTAAATTTTATTTATCAGTTAACCAAAGTAAAAAGCTTTCAAGCTAAAATCTATTAAAATTTGTTTATTTCTAAAAATAATTCTTGTGAAATGTCAATTAACAAATAACAGACTAAATATTATTTGAAGTTAATAATAAATAATTTTCTTATTCTAATTATTTAATTGAATAAAATAAATAAGTAAAAAGGATTTAAACCTAAATAATTATGCCATTTAATTTAAAAATTTTAATCTTGAAAAGTAAATACAAATATGAACAAAATTAAATTGAAAATATCTAATTACACTAAAAAAAACAACAATTACTAACTTTAATATCTTGTTCTAAATTTTAGAAATTCGATGAATCATATCGTTTAAAAGGTTTTTTTTAAATATTAGTAAATCTTTTAATTTATATCATTTTTTAGTATATATATCAAATTAAAAATCCACCAACCTAAAATCATTCTAAATTTTTTGTTTTAAATATCAGCTAGTTTTAACTTGATTTTTTTAAAAAAAGTAAGTCCTAAAAAATGTAGTGCCAAACCTCACTTTTCCCTATATAGCAATTAGCACTTTGCAATCTAATATAAATTTTTTATTTTTTCTATATTTGCTTTTTTTTGTAAGTAAAAAATTAAATTTTAAATACTATTTAATTTAATATCAAATATATTTAAAAATTAAGTAGAAAATCATACATTTAAAAGTATACTTGAAATTAATTGATTAAATTAAAGGTATATATTAGTCAATTTAGTAAATTGATTCAACTAAGAAATAAAGAAGAAATTCATAAAAAAATAATAGTAAATTAATAAAAAAAATCCTTATATTAGAATTTTTTAAGAATAAAAAATTGAAAATATTTATTAAATTAATATTTTCAGGTAATCTATTTCTATCTTCTTTATTTATTATAACTTCTCTTATTTTATATTTGATTTTTTAAATTTTTTCATCATTTCACATTTTGGAATTGAGATTTATCAAGATCCCAGGACTAAATTCTCGAGTTTATGATAAAACATTATTTAGTTATTATTATTTTCAAATTTATTTTAAATTAAATTTTAGGGAATAATAAAATTTTTTAATTTTATCTGTTTAATTATAATATGAAAATAATTTATAACTATGACAAGATCTAAAAGATTAATTATTAAAAACCTAAGATATTTTATATGATCATATATATAACAAAAGTTTTCTTAAGAATTAACTTCCAGTTTATGAGAGTTTTTACTAATTTATGAAAAAAAATCTTATTTTTGCAAAATAGAAAATTATAATTTATATAACCATTAAACTAAATTAAATAAGAAATCTTAAAGCTAAATTAAGGTATTAGAGTTCAGTAATTTTATTTTAAATTTTAATAAAAAAAATATAATACAGGATTAATAAAAATAAAAAAAATTTCAAAGAATTTTAAATATTATATCTGGGTTGACAAAAGTATATTCAATATTATTTAAAAAAACTACTCAAAAACATAAAAACATATAAAACACTAAACTAACATATAGTTTTTAAATTTCTTAGTAAAAAATTAATTTTAATCAATTTTATGTTTCTTCATCAATGTTGTCAAATTATTTTCTATTGATACCTTATTTATTCATACTAAATTTTTATCTTGTATGTTTTTTAAATAGAGATGCTGTTGGACTATTTAAAGAAACTGAAGAATTATTAAATTAAATTGAGAATAGCTACTTTGGAGATTTTGGAAAATCTTTTTTTGAATCTAATTCTTTGTTTACACTTGAATCAATTAATTTCTAAAAATTTTCAATTTAGATTTTGGCTAAATTTCCTTTGTAAATAGATCTTCTTAACTTTGACCAACTATAATTTTTTTAAATATTTCTTAAAGTTAATTAAAGTTGCTAAATGAAAATATAAATTTACTTATTAAACACTTTAAAAGGATCATATTCTTAATTAAAAAGCAAATTGTATAGTAAATAATTATTTTCAAACAAGTACTTTTGAGCCCATGCTTATTTATTTACTAACTTTCTTGATAAAAATTTAAATATCGAAAGTAAGCACTTACTTTTTAATAAGAAATATTAATTTCTTTTAAAAATTACACCAAGAAAACTCATTGCTAATTATCCTTTTTAATTTTAATAATTAATGTTTAAATATTAAAGATAAAAGGAAAATTAACTTACCAAACATCATTATTAATAATAGAACCAAAGTAATCGAAAAAATAAAATTAAGATAAAGTATATCATCATTCAACTACTGAAACAAAGCAACCCAAAAAATTAAGAGAACATAAGTGGCTGATTTAGACTCTAACTTGTTTATTTTACGATCTTAATATGGTTTAAAGAGTATTATAGAAGCACAGTAAACTGACTAAACAAATATAATTGAAATCAACTAAATTTGAGGTTTACTATTGTAGTAGGTTGACAAAAATAGAATTATTATCTTATACCAAGTTTTGATAAACTCCCACCACCATCTATTTTTCTTATAGCCTTGAAAGAAATAACCATATCTTCTTATAACATTTGTTGATATATTGTCGAACATTTTAGAATGGTTTCTACATAATACATATAACATAATTATAGGATAGATAATTATGACTGCTATTAAAACAGGAAGTACTAAAAATACTATGTAAAATTTATGCTCATCATTATAGCATTCTTAATCCATCTAACTTTTCATGTAGTAAGTATCTCCAAACTTTTCACAAATAATAATTTCTAATGCAGCCTGGTAAATATTCTATGTAGCAAGATAACTGAATACAATTATAGTACTAATTGCCATGTTAGCATTATTATATTTAATTTAAGTATAATAGTATTGATATGGCATAAAATATTACACTCCAATAAAAATTATGTTAATAGAAATATAAATTAGTAGCAAAAAGATACATGGAAGAACGATTGAGATGTAAATAAATCTCAAGTATTGGATTGGTATGTCGGAATTTAATTAACTCAAGGTGCAGTCTATTGAATATAAAAACACCAATATTGGTTATGAAGTTGTCTGAGGAAAGGTAAATAAGCTCTAGAATAATCCTGGGAATGTAAAACCAATACTAGACTTCAAAGCCGATATTACATAAAATTAATTTATAAAGATCTTGGATATTACTGTGGATTAAAGTATAAACTATGATACTCCCATTTAGAGAATTTTAAGTGAGGATATAATACGAATTTGACACATTTTACAATTGCTGTTTTAGGATTCTAAAATTAAAAAAACCAGATAGAGTACTATTCCTAAGAGTAATAGTATTTATTTAAAGGAATTATCTTAAATAGAAGAGCATAAAGAGCATTAAATGCTTTTCTTACCTAATTCACTAACTTTTCCATATTTATTTCCCCATACATACCCATAATCATCGCAAGACGAGCATAAAGCCCCTGTGTATCCCTCTTAACAGTACCCTTTTGATGAATCTCCATTACAAGGGTTAGAAAGCTGATCGCATTAGTATATTTCATCAGAATTATTACTTTATCTCCTACATTTTTAAATTAAAAATTAAATTTTGAATTAATTAATTAATTACCAGTAATTTTCCCTTAACACAATTTGGTTTAGCTCACAAAAACTAGCTTTTTAATTGTCACAATTTTTGCATTAAATTTAATCTCCTATTTTTGGAAGATTGAGGGAATATGTTCCATTTAAGCATTAAATGCACTCTTACAATTAACAGCCTTAGCATACTGAATTATAGGACTCACCAACTTAACAGCTCCTAAAAAATATAGATATATCTATATTATCTACATTAATAAATTGATTAGTGCTATTTAAAGTTTTCATCCCATTAAGTGAAAGCTATATAGAAGCATTTTTAGATGGAACTCCTGTAATTTTAAAATTATTCATAAAGCATCCTATTTTTTTGGATGAGTAATAAGTATATTCAACTAATGTTGCACCTTCTATTTTTACAATTTGATCTTATAAAAATGTACTACTTTGTTAAATGTTTATCCTACAATTATATGAGCTTATTTCTTAGAATAAATCTTAACTTATTTAACTGACCAAAGCTATTTGTTAAAAATTGAAATAATTAGAGATTTAAATTTGTAGAAAAAAAAAATTCATTACTTTGATTTTATAAATCTATTTGTTTTACTTAATTTTTAAATTCATCCAAAAATTAAATAGTCAAGTCAAAGTTACTTTACCCACTTCTAAAATTGTTAAAGGTAATATTTGGGTAATTTTTTATATCCACATCGAAGTCTTTACTTGGTAAAATAGAAGCAAATTAAGGATAGCTTGCAATTTAATCACCAAAGATAATAGCTTTATTAGATTTGCACTAGTTCTAACTAAATGTTTTACAAGAATCTCTTTATGTGTTGCCTCTGTCAATTAAAAACTAAGGCTTTAAATCAAAATATCTTATGACTCCTCCTATTCCAGCTGCATTATTTCCGAAGTTTGATTTTGAAATTATTATATCTGAACCATGAAGTAAAATAACTCCTCCACTCCTATTTTCATATTTTTAAATCAAAATGATTGAAATAAAATCATTAAAAAATTTAATCAAAATATTAACCAATTTAAAAACTATTTTTTTAGAATTTATTTTTTAAATGAAAAAAAAAACTTTAATTTCTCATAAGTCAACAACTCTTTTCATATTAAATTTTATTATTTGCTATAATGGTTTCAAATTTATTGTATTAGTATATTCATATAATAGTTATGTTTAAAATTTATAATGGAAGAAGAATTATATTTTGAAATTTAAATTTGTTTATTGAAAATAGTAATTTTTTTATTTATCAAATTAAAATGAAAAATAAATACCCTAATGCTTAGTTATTTTAAAAAATAGAGTCCACAATAAAAGAGCTATTTCCATTAGTTAGAGTTATATACAGAACTCCTCCATCACTAAAAGCTTTACAATATTAAGAGCTGAAGTTGGAGATTTAAAATTAGGTAGCTTAATTAATATATGCATATCCTCCACTCCCACCAGATTAGCAATTTTGAGCATTTATTTTATTTAATATTAAGATTCCGTTTTCAAAATAAATACTTCCCCCTTTTATTGATTTAGAATTTAAAAATTAGGAATCATTTATTTTTAAATTAGAATATATAGAATATATTGATCCTCCTTCTTATAAACCTTAATCGCTGTCAAAAAAAGACCCTTCTATTTAAAGCTCACTTTATGACGAAAATATTGAACCACCTTAATTAGATAAGTTATTTTTAAAAGTTGAGTTTTTTATATAAACTTATGAATTTTAGTCTATATTGGCAATTGAATTCAATTGATTTAATCCACTTGATTTATTGTGCAAGAGTTTTAAGTTTAAAATTTAGAGGATTGACTGAGTAATCACTAGAGCCTAAATTGCATCGTTATTTGATATTTCTGCATTTTGAAGAGTGCCTTAATTTTAATTTGATATAACAGCCAAATTATAAAACCCTTAGTTTAAACTAACAACAAATTTATCAAGATTAAATTCGCTAATTGTTTTTATTGAGACAATAGTAGTTTTTTTAGTAAAATCACTATTTTAGGTGATGTAAAAATCAGTGATCTTCAATGTCTGACTTATAATTTCTAGTGCACTATACTACTTTGCATCATTAAATGTATTATTACTTAAAGTTACATTCTAAATTTAGATGTAATCATTGTTTATTTACTAATTGATTTCAAAAATATTTTCTTCTAAATTTAAGCTTTTTTTATATTAAAGAAACATCAAATTTATATTATTAGTAAATTGAGTGTTATTAAGTTATAGATTTTAAATTAGGTAACTTTTTATTATTGGTAATGATACACCATTATTAGAATTTAAACTCATGTCTGAAAGAGAAACATTAAAGTAATTAGAAATAAAAATAGGAGCAACATACTAAGAATCTGAATTGTAATTAAATTGACATTTTGTAATATTTATCTAATCAAAATCTATTGAAGCTTTTTACACTTTTAAGTCATCTTAAAAATAAAAGAGAGTAGTTTAATTAAAGATTGATTAAAATACATTTATTTATTAAAGTGTTATTTATTTTACTCCTGTAATTTTAAATAGACTTATTAAATTTGGACTATTTAAAATTAATCCTGATACAGTTAGTTATTAGAAGTAGACATTATTAATAGAGTTTATTTAGAAGCTAAACATTTTTTAATTTCCTACTAATTAAACATTAATCATTTGAAATGTTTATATTTGTTGAATTGAAAACTGGATAAAATCATTTTAAGAAGTTGCTGGTTATATTTATAAGTTATTTAAAGATACGAGATTATATCCTGAAAATGAAGTAAACAGGTCTTCGCTGACAATTATTTTGTATTGTGTTGTATTACTTTTTGAAATAATGTTCACTAGTGAGTGGTTTGAGAACTAAAAAGAAGGAAAAGGTGGTAAAATTGTTTATCCTTCAATTAATACATTAAAGATAAGTTATTAAATAGGAAAGTAGTTATATATCAATAGATAAATTTTTTGAATAGATTATAATACCTAAGCAAATTAGTCTGAAGTAATCTACTCTTAGCAGATTGATTAACCAAATATAGGGAGTTATATCTAAGCTATTTATTTTCCAGAGTATAAAATAAGCTATGCATACACATTTTCTTTTGTGTCAAATATTTCATAATCTGCTACACTTCCAAGTCTCGTAAAATCTGATGTATAAATACCTAACAGTGTTATTGTTTAGTTGAGTCTATTAATTCTATAGGTCTATATTTGAAAAGTGTAAGCATCAAAAAAGTAATCTTTATTGATGAAAATTATCTTGTTATCACTTGGGGTAAATAAGGGGTTTACAGGATATTAAAGAAGAGTAGTTGTAAATCTTCCATAAGATACTAATTTTAAAGTTGAAAGCTCATTAATTTGATAAACTCCTAGACAACTTTAAATAATATAATCAAATTCTAAGCTTATATCAAGTTTATAAGAATATCCAATGCAGGGACTAGTAACTTAGCTGATTAGAGTCATGTCATAAGGATTGAATAAATTTAATGAAAAATCCTGTATTCTTTTAATAAATACCTATTTTTATATATTTAATTAATTAATTTTTAAAATAAATATAAAAATTTTTAAAATTGGTTATTTTGATATTTTATTTAAATTTTATAAAAATTTAAATGGTTCAAATTAGATTAAACAAGTTTACATTTAGATTAACTCTGCTAAAATTATTTTATAATTGTTTATAATTGTTGTAAAGAAAAAGTTTTTCTTAACTTTAAATAAAATTAAAAATGAGGTAGATTTTACATAACCATTGGTGTATTATAGAATGTGAGCATGAGAGGTTATTCCAGGTAGCAAAAGTGTTTATTATTTTAAAATAACAAGCTCCTAAGATAATACCATTTAAGCTATTTATCCACTTAAAGCAGAAGCTATTAAAATATAGCTATTAGATTATTCGATAAGCAAGCTATTTACTATCGCTTCGCTGAGGAGTTATAAATTAAATATTTAGTTGAATTATAATTATTATGATGAAAGATTAAGAGTGTACCCAATTACCTATCCTTAAGTTGTAGTTACGAAAAAAGTTTTAAGCTGCGCAATAGCTTTAAGTTTTATAATAGAAGAGTTTTTATCAATCGAAATTTATTAAAATACTTTATATTCATTCACATCTAAAATTGTTATGTAATTCACATATGAACAAATCAAATACCCTTGTATTTATGTATTTCTGGAACATTTTTGCTTTTAGATATTAATTATTGATATAGTATTTATATCAAAAAATACTGTTTATTCACGAGTTAGTAAAGCAGCAATTGAAGCTTAACCTTCGATGAGGATAAAATCACTATAGAAATCTATACCTGAGTCTGCAACATAAAATCCATATCTTAATTACTTAGACTTATAATCCCAAAGCTAAATAACATTACCTTCTTGATAGAATATAATTCCTTACTATGTTTAAAGAGTAGACATCACACCTATAAATTTTTACAAATATTTTAATAAAACATCTTAAAAAATATTAATTATCTGCATTTTTTAGAATAAAAATTGTATTAATAAATTTTAATCTTACCTACATACGAATAAGAGAAAGTGTTAGCAAATGATTACATGAATTAAACAACATTATAATAACCTATTGTATTAGAAGCTAAACATCCAAATATTAGCATGTTGTGCTTTGAATCAAAATAAAGACTATTTATTCTAGAACTAGTCACTTACGTTTATCTAACAAGAACTAATTATGGAAATGTTAATGCATAAATAAAACCATTAAAATCTGATACAAAAACATAATTATTATCCTTGTCAAGAAAAGCATCATATAGTGGATTTTAAAGCTATATCTCATACCTAATTAATTTATTAAGTTTATTTAAAATTTAAAAAAGATATTATTATTACATTTTATTTGGATAAGGCAAATTCTTATAATTCCAAGTTCTTACATATCTATCTTTGCTGGTAATTAATTACAAAAAAAAATTAATTTTTAAATTTAAATATATTTAAAAATGCTTACCTAACAGTGATTAGAATTTAATTTTACTCATCAATCAGACCTTAATATATCCAATTCTCGTGAGCATCTATATAACCAATATTATCACAGTTATAATTATAAATTCTAACACTACCGTTGTGCTTTAATATTTAAAAAATGTTATATATTCAATAATCCTTTAAAATTACTTACATCCCATACTATTTGTAGTTTGTTAGTTAAGTCAAATTTTGCATATAATCCTGCAATCGTGCACCTATGAGTTAAGGTATAATAATCTATCGATCTTGACCACCAAGCATACTTAATAAATTAATTTTTAATTTTATTATTTTATTATTATATGTTTATATTGTTAATAATTTAAAAAAATTTATGAAAGTTAGTAAGTTTATAAAAGATAATTAATTTTCTTTATTTTCTAATTTTAAAATGGGTATATAAGAATTAATTTTTAATTTTTAAAATGTAAATTAATTTTTAATAAATCAATTTAAATCATAATTTTTTACCCCAAGAAACATGATAAGCTTATCTTAAGGATTAAAAACTATTCCTGAAATTCTATAGACAGATTCTATCTAATCAAGAACTTAAATTAATTTAAAGTTTCTGGATAAATCCCAAACAACTATAGTTCCAGGTGAAAAGCAACCTACAAAAAGTCTATTTAAATATTCGTCATAGTAAAATTTATATATTGTGACACACTAAGAAACATTATGGTTCAATAAACCTATTTGCTTATATGTATCTAGTTCATACACAATCACATAGTTGGAGGTTACGTTTGCAAATCCAACAAATAAGTAATTTTACGATGGTATTGAATATATTATATAAGAATCATTTAAATCAATGCTAGCTGGCGAGCTCGAAATATATTGCTATTTTATTTAATTATACAGCTGTATTTAGCTTGATAGCATTAGAGTCAAACCACTTTTTACATCTATATAAAAGCTATTTAATTAATTAGGGAGAACTATTTAATTAATTAAGCAATTATCTGTCAATGTTCTTGTAAATATCTATATAAAAAATAAAAATATTATTTTATTATTATCAAATATATTTATTTTTATAATTTAAAAAAAACAATAAGAAAATTTTTAAATTAAAAATAATACATCATTTAATTTTACAGTTTAAAAAAAAAAATGTTAAATCTTTTTGAAATTAAAAAAAATTTTTTTTAATATCGCATGATTGTGTGAAAAATTATATTTAATAACAAAAATTAGTTAAAAAAAATACCTAAATCAAGTTTTTAAATAAAATGAAAATCTAGATTAATAATTTATTACAAATACATTCGACTATAGGGCAAGGGTATTATATTTTGAGTCTAAATCTTTAGCACTAGCTGGATAGGCATTATTGAATACATTTTGAATAATATTTTTTATATAGTTATATAAAATGATCTATCCATCATTATATGCAACCATAACTAATTATTTGTCTGTATAAATATCAACTGTTTGTATTGCATTAGAATATATTTATATTTGATTGAGAAAATTTGTAGTGCCAATATCTACAACAATAATTTTTGAATTGCTTAATATTGCTATTAGCAAGCCTTAAGGCCCATCAAATGCGAAAAATTGCACTGATTAATCATTTAGATTCAATACTTATTGTTTATAATTCTGATAATTCATAAAACAAAGCTGATTTCCTTTATTTAAAACAAGTGTTTGCTATTCATCAACTAAAAATATATTTGAAGGTTATCCTACATTGTAGTTTAAGTTGTTGATTAAATTAAAGGTATTGCTGTCATATAGATATATCTTTTTTTTAAAAATATTATATCTTATTTTTCAAATAATATACACATTAATATTATAAATACGAATATTATTGAAATTCAAAAATACTATTTACCTAAATATTCTATTATTTGACTGAAATTAGAGTTTAAGCTTAGCTAAGATAAAAAAACGAAATGACCTAATCAGTATTATTTTGTAAATTTATTTATTAATTACTATCTCCACTTGAATAATAGTAATTGAATAAAGACAGATATCCATTAATTTGTATTAAGATTTGTTATTTTTATTCTAACAATACTATTTCACCATCACTATCGATAGAACCATTTTGTTGGAGTACTCCGCTAAATATTAGTGAGTGATCTAAACTGCTATCAAGCTTGTATATTACATATTATGTTGTTTGTATTACAAACCCTATGATAAGCTTATTTTGCTTGTCTTAAATAAGTACAAAATCTTAAAGATTGCTCTATCCAAAAGGACTTATTATACTATCTATTAATACTCCTAGTAAATAATCATAGATTACTATCAAAGTTTAGTCAGTGGCCGTATAAGTTTAGTATTGTACTAGCTTTACATTTAAATTAGTTTTTTAAAAATTATTAATAGGTAAACCAAAATATGAAGTTTAATTTTTACACTTAAGCAGTTAAATTGTTGTAAATGCAGAGAAGAAGAATTTAATTCGTATAAATTTTATAAATAAGATTAATAAAAATAAATTATAATTTTTAAAATGTATATTTAAGAACTCGTTTTCTTATTTTTAAATTTAAATTTAGCTTTTTACTTTTATAATAGTTTTAATTATTTATTATAATAAGATCTTTTTAATTTGTTTCAATAAAACTTTAAATTATTTAAAAAGCTTAAAGGTTGTTTAGTTTTTTTGAATTATCTCTTATTTAATAAATTTCTAAATATTTTCATTAATAAATGGATTTTTAAAAAAATTATTTTTAATTTTTTAATCGAAGTGGTTAGAAATTTTTAACATATCTGATTATGATAAAATTAAGTTAAAATGTTTATTTAATTAATCTAGTTTATAACAAATTTAGGATTAAATTAATTCTTTGCTTCCGCAAAAACAAAAATGTAAACACTGAAAATATGATGTTGTTAATTGAAAATACATACTAACAAATTTTAAACAAAATTTCTAAAAAAAAAAACTTACTTTATTGATTGACTTATCTATAAAAAAGATAGTGTCATGGTTAATGTAGCTTATTTATTTTTCTAGTTAGTTGTCAAACAATGACCAATACTATATAGTTCCTGCTTAATCAGATTTAATTATTCTAATATATTTTACCATAAATTAACTTTTTTATAAACTAAAAAAATTTACCTATTAAAATCAGAGTCAATTTAAAGTTATCTAACTATATCATAAGATGATTAAGCCGATTAAAAAGAGTCCATGAAATAAATAAATTTAGATGTCTTGAGATCTAAAGTAGAAATAGAAGAATAGAAACACGCCACTACTTAATTCTCAACTACAAAAGCTTTCATCCATTTAAATGTCATCTTAAAAACTTAATTTTTAAATAAAAGAGGACTTTTCTCTTCTAATGAGTATACAAATATGTATTTATCAGAAACAACTGATATTTGATTTCTTTGATTGATAGATCCAAAAGTAAAATTAATTGTAGAATCTACTGAAGTTTAGTTTGCATCTCTTTGATCACAATAAATTTTTTAGAAATCTGCTTGATATACTAAGATATTTTATTTCATTGACCATACCTAAAACAAATTGGACTCTCCTGTTATTATGATAAAGTCTTCTTCTTAGCTAACCAATACCTATGTTGAAACCGAAGGTAAAGTATTCTAAAACTGTAGAACTGAGTTTTTATATGAAGACACATAGAAAGACCCATTTTATGAAGCATACGTTATAGAAATTTAATTTTTGGTTGCGTAAATTGACTAAAAATTAACAAATTTTTCTATTTAAAATAGCTTTTAAAAAAGTTAGCTGGTAATATCAAATGTATATAAACCTCCTTAAGAATCAACAAGCAAAAATCTTCTGTTTGCCTTATTGCTCACACACTGAATTATCTAAGCTTATTTCAGCTAAATTGTAGTTATTTTTGAATCAGAAATGGTTGAAGAAGAATAATCAATGATAAACAGCTATTTTAATAGTAAAGAATAAATAAATAAAATAAAAAGTTCAAAAAAATACATTTGATGTGTCCCAGGTCACAGCTATTAGTTCTTCAGAATTCAAACAAGAATTAGGATTGACTTAAATTTAGGAAGGAATTTAAAGAGTACTTTGTTTTGATCCGTTTCCTGAGCTCCATCCAATAATTCTTCCTTTAGAATCTAGGGTATGAATAACAGATACTTATAGGCTTTATCTATCATCTTTATCAATTTGGTACAATTGAACATCTTCTGATTATTCAATTGGTATGTACTTAACATTTTTATGGAAATTAAAAATGCCAACAGTGAACGGATAGTAGACTACCGCAGCAATATCTTGAAAATCTTGCTGAGGATCTGATTTCAAAAGTATCATAGTTTGTATATACGGAGAATACGATGAGGCTCCTAATATCCAAAAAGGACATCCTATTGCCTTAACTAACGTTAATTAAGAGAAAAGAAGGCAAAACTTTAATCTTATTAAGAATTTTATCTTAAGCGAAATCATTGCTATTCAATTTTGTTTATTTTATGTTATTTATAACAAATATAAAAAGTTAGGCCTGAGATAACTAATTTAAATAGTAGTTATTTGAGAAATATACTTTCCAACATTTGAAGTAAATAAAAAGTCATAAGAGGGAAATTATGAAAAATAAATAAATAAAATTTGACAATTTAGATTCATTTAAATTTTTGATTATGTAATTTAAATGCAATATTGATTACCAATAAAAACTAATAGTCAATTATTATGAATACAGCAAAATTAAAAATCAACAAAATATAAATTATTATCATAACGATAGACTAAATTTTATTTATCAGATAATCAAAGTATAAAGCTTCCAAGCTAAAATCTATTAAACTATTTTTATTTCTTAAAATAATTCTTGTGAAATGTCAAAGATTAACAAAATTTTATACTAAAAATTATATGTAGTATGAGCGTAATAAAAAATGTCCTTATTCTATTTCTTTAATTGAATAAAATAAGTAAATAAAAAGGATATAAACCAAATAATTATGCCATTTTATTTGAAAATTTTTATCTTGAAAAACAAATACAAATCTGAAGAAAATAAAAATGAAAATATGTAATTATACTGAAAAGAACAACAATTAGCTTTAATATCCTGTTCTTAAATTTTGAAAGTCTATGAATCATATCATTTAAATATTTTTAAAAAAAATATATTATAGTAAATTTTTAAATTTGTTTATCATTTTATATCATTTTTTAGTATTACGATCTAATTAAAAATGCAACAAACTATAAAAATGTAAATAAAAAAAAAGTATATTTACAAGTGTTTGCAATTAATTACAATAGCTTAACCTTCTAATAAGTTTAAGTAAATAAAATTAGTTTTTTAAAAAACCTAATTTTAGAATGTATTTTAGTAAATAAGAATAATTTTTAAAAATAATATTAAAGATTTTCAATATTGTATGGAAATTAGTTTAAATTGATAAAGAATTATATTTGGTTGGTAATACTTTATTAATTATTAATAACTGCATATTTTAAATAGCTTTTATTTCAAAACTTATATTAATTCATTATCTTAAGGTTGATGTAGGGTAAATATAAAAAATTTAATATTAAATATACAAATCAAAATTTTCTTTGATTTGCTTTTTTCCTCTAAAAATATAAAAATCAAGAAAGTGAAGAAAATTTAAATTTTGTTTTTATAAATAAAATTATTACAAACATTTTAAAATATTTCTCTTTAAAAAAAAAAACATCAATTAAAATAATAACTCTTAATGAATTATTGATAAAAGTTTAACTTTTTGTAAGAAGGAGCATTAGGAAATTGAGTTAGTAAAAATGTTAAGATTTTAAAATAGACAATTTTTTTATCTAGAACATTAATAGAAGTTTACATATTTAAATTATTTTTTAGCTAAATAAATGATTAAATCTACAATTAATAATTAATTGATTATAACTAAAGGATAGGGAATAAATATGTGATTTCTTAGCTATTTAGTATTAAAGCATTAATGAGTAACAAAAAGATAAAAAGATTATTTTATATAAAATATTTTTTTAAAATAGAAGTTTTTTTACTTCATATTGAATAAATTTGAACAAAAAGTAAGCAAAAGTTAACAATTTTATAATTTGTAGTTTTAGGTTTTACAAATGATTCTTTTAATATCCTTTAAAGTTTGAAAGGATTATTATTTTTAAATTAATGTTATATGAGTTATGATACTATTTGATTTTACAACCTGTAAAACTATTTCGAAAATAACTTTTTAAATGTTAAAACTTGCCTCTGGCTGCTTAAAAATACTCATCCTTTATTTACATAAAACTATTTGTTGAATTAATCTGACTTTACACAAAAATTTTCATATTTTAAATATTTAATAAATAAGATTCATAATTTCAATTTTATTATTTTTAAAAATATAGGTTTCTTCACTCATGAACCTACTACTAAATAAGAAGGACATCGTGAATTCCCAAATAATTTAAATTTAATTACAGTATTTTTTTTTAGATTTTATTTTGACTAGAAATAATTTTAAAATTTTAAGTAACTTATCAAAGAAGAAGAATAAAATTAAATAAAATTAGACCTAATTTTCCTCTTGAATCTGGAGAGTTTTCATAAATAACTATAGCATCATTAAAATATCGTATTCTAAATATCATTTCAAATATATAAATAAATAATAATCATAAAATAATATTTTAGATAATACCAATACAAATTTTAACTAAATTTTATCATAACTAAATAATGTAAACATATATTTAAATGGGTTTATTTAAAGTTTTTTACATAAAATTAACATAAAAAACTATATAAGAACAATTTTTCTGTTTAAATATTTTATTATTTGAAATTTAATAAATTGTTAGTAGAATTTTGAAAGTAGAATTAGTATTAGAAATTTCGATTAAAATAACTAATTAGTTAAGTATTTTATTCAATTAGATTATTTGCAATTTTCCTTTTATATATCTGGAATATCAAAATAGATGTGACTTTTAATCGCACTATTTATTATTAATAATCAGACTTAAACTCAAGCTTTTTTAGTTTATTTTTTTATGTTTGCAAGACATATGAATGGGGCTAAGGACTTCAAAGTGACATACTTTACTCATATCCTTACATTTAAAGTCATTTAAAATATCAGTAATGTACTCAGTATTCTATTTTGAGGGAGTAGACCTTTAATATTAGCTTAATTGTAATATTTATCTGACCTTGCTCTTATCATCAGTATTAGATTTTTTTCTTAGGAATAGTCACAAAAAATGCTTCTCTGTTAGCCAAGCTGCATCAATATTTTACATATTTGCATTTATTTAAGGTGAATCATTAATAGAGTTGTTAAATAAAAATGATATTATTATATCATAACCTGAATTTTTAAAATTCCTTTATTATATTTTAGTAATGTGATATTCTATTTTAAATTCAGATTCGTTTTTTACTTCTAAATAATTATGCATTTTTAAAAATATGATTCTGGGTATACGGCGTCAACCACCATTTTACCTTCTCATATACTCAACATTTTTGAAAAAGTACAAAATCTTCCCAATTCTCATTTCGGATCTCGTATATATAAGGATTCCGATTATCAAATTATCGAAAGATTATGGTACTTATGTTATTTACTTATTATTATTTTGAGATTTATTTAAAATTTTTTAAAGTAAATAAAATATTTTTTTAATTTTATCCATTTAGTTATATAATAAGAATAAATTATAACGACCACAAGATCCAAAACCTTAATTATTAAAAAATGAAGAAATTTTTAAATGATAATTTATTAATCTTATTCTTTCTTTATAATTAATTGCCAGTTCTTGAGAGTTTTTAGCTAATTTCTGAGGAAAAAAAATTTCATTTTTGCAAATTAGAAAATTTTAATTTATTTAGCCATACAAATTATATAAATGAATTAAATAAGAGCTCTTAAAAATTAAATTAAGGTATTAGCATTCAATAAATTTTATTTTAAATTTTAACTTAATTAAGAGGATACTTGCTTAATAAAAATACAAAATTTTTTAAGAATTTTAGATATTGTGACTAAATTAATAAAAATATATTCAATCTTATTTAAAAAAATAGTTCAAAAAACATTAAAACATATAAAAGACTAAAATATCATATAATTTTTATAATTTATAAGTAACAAATGAATTTTAATCAATTTTATATTTCTTAATCGATTTTGACAAAAATTGATTTTGTATTCATTTTATTTTGGTTGATATTAAATCTTTATCTCTATCTATTTTACCTATCTGAAAGTTGTTTAGATATTAATAAGTTTTGATTAATTTAAGAATTTGAAGAATTATTAAATTAATTTGAGAATGACGATTTTGGTGATTTAAGTTTGTCTGCATTTGAATCTATTAATTTCTAAAAATTTTCAATTTAGATTTTGACTAAATTTCCTTTTTAAATAGTTCGTCTTAATTTTGACCAACTATAATTATTATAAATATTTTTTAAAGTAAATTAAAGTTGTTAAATGATTTAATAATGAATTTACTTATTAAATACTTTGTAAGGATCATATTCTTAATTAAAAAGCAAATTGTATAGTAAAAAATTATTTTTATACAAGTACTTTTAAGCCCATAATTTGTTATTTACTAATTTGCTTGATATATGTTAAAATATCTTAAGAAAGTACTTACTTTTTAAAAAGAAATAATAATTTCTTCTAAAAATTACACCAATAAAACTTATTGCTAATTATCCTTTTTTAATTTAAATGATTAATGTTAAAATATTAAAGAAGAAGGGAAAATTAACTTACCAAACATCATTATAAATAATAGAACCAAAGTAACTGAAAAAATAAAACTAAGATACATTTTATCATCATTTAACTACTCAAATAAAGCAACCCAAAAAATTAAGAGAACATAAGTGGCTGATTTATATTCTAACTTGTTTATTTAAAAATCTTAATATGGTTTAAAGAGTATTAAAGAAACAAAGTAGATTGTTTATACAAATATAACTGTAGTCAACTAAATTTAAGGTTAACTATTGTAGTAGGTTGACAAAAATAAGATTATAAACTTATACCAAGTTTTGATAAACTCCCACCACCATCTGTTTCTTTTAAAGCCTTAGAAGAAATAACCATATCTTCTTATAACGTTTGTTGAAGTATTATCAAACATTTTAGAATTGTTTCTACATAATACATATAACATAATTATTGGATAGATAATTATGACTGCTATTAAAATAGGAAATATTAAAAATAATATGTAGAATTTATGCTCAGTATTATAGCATTCTTAATCCATCTAACTTTTCATGTAGTAAGTATCTCCAAATTTTTCACAAATAATAATTTCTAATGCAGCCTAGTAAATATTCTATGAAGCAATATAACTGAATACAATTATAGTACTAATTACCATGTTAGCATTATTATATTTATTTTAAGTATAATAATATTGATCTGGCATAAAATATTACACTCCAATAAAAATTAGGTTAATAATAATATAAATTAGTAGCAAAAAGACGCATGGAAGCACGATTGAGATGTATATAAATCTCAAGTATTGGATTGGTATGCCGAAATTTAACTAACTCAAGCTGCAGTCTATTGAATATAAAAACATTAATATTGGTTATGAAGTCGTTTCAGGAAAGGTAAATAAGCTCTAGAATAGTCCAGGGAATGTAAAACCAATACTAGACTTCAAAGCCGAGATTACATAAAATTAATTAATAAAGATCTTTGATATTACTGTAGATTAAAGTATAAACTATGATACTCCCATTTAGAGAATATTAAGTGAGGATATAATACGAATTTGACACATTTTACAATTGCTGTTTTAAGATTCTATAATTAAAAAAACCAGATAGAGTAATATTCCTAAGAGTATTAATACTTGTTTAAATGAATTGTTTTAAATAGAAGAGCATAAAGAGCATTCAATGCTTTTCTTACCTAATTCACTAACTTTTCCATATTCACTTCCCCATACATACCCATAATCATCACAAGACTAGCATAAAGCCCCTATGTATCCTTCTTAACAGTACCCTTTTGTTGAGTCTCCATTACAAGCGTTTGACACCTAATCGCATTAGTATATATCATCAGAATTATTACTTTATCTCCTATATTTTTAAATTATAATCCTTAAATATTAAACATTAAATTTTGAATTAATTAATTACCAGTAATTTTCCCTTAACGCAATTTGGTTTAGCTCACAAAAACTAGCTTTTTAACTGTCACAACTTTTACATTAAGTTTCATCTCCTATTTACGGATAAATGAGAGAATAGGTTCCATTTAAACATTAAATGCACTCTTACAGTTAGCAGCCTTAGCATACTGAATTATAGTACTCACCAACTTAACAACTTCTAAAATATATAGAAATATCTATATTATCTACACTAATAAATTGATTAGTGCTATTTAGAGTCTTCATTCCATTGAGTGAAAGCTATATAGTAGCACTTTTAGATGGAACTCCTGTAATTTTAAAATTATTCATAAAGCATCCTATTTTTTTAGATGAGTAATAAGCATAATCAACTAATGTTGCACCTTCTATTTTTACTATTTGATCTTATAAAAATGTACTACTTTGTTAAATATATATCCTACAATTATATGAACTTATTTCTTAAAATAACTCTTAACTAATTTAACTAACCAAAGCTATTTGTTAAAAATTGAAATAATTAGAGATTAAAATTTATTTGTAGAAAAAAAATTCATTACTTTGATTTTATAAATCTATTTGTTTTACTTAATTTTTAAATTCATCCAAAAATTAAATAGTCAATTCAAAGTTACTTTACCCACTTCTAAAATTGTTAAAGGTAATATTTGGGTAATTTTTAATATCCACATCGAAATCTTTGCTTGGTAAAATAGAAGCAAATTAAGGATAACTTGCAATCTAATCACCAAAGATAATAGCTTTATTAGATTTGCACTAATTCTTACTAAATGTTTTACAAGAATCTCTTTAAGAGTTGCCTTTGCCAATTAAAAACTAAGGCTTTAAATCAAAATATCTTATAACTCCTCCTATTCCAGCTGTGTTATTTAAGAAATTTGATTTAGAAATTATTATATCTGAACCATCAAGTAAAATAACTCCTCCACTCCTGTTTTCATATTTTTTAATCAAAAATTGTAGAAATAAAATTATTAAAAAAGTTAATCAAAATATTAACTAATGTAAAAACTATTTTTTAAGATTCATTTTTTTATGAAAATAAAATACTTTAATTTCTCATAAATCCTTTACATGTTAAATTTTATTATTTGCTGGAATAGTTTCAATTTGTTGTGTCGGTATTGCCATATAATAGTTATGTTTACCATTTTTAACAATTTTAATGTAAGAAGAATTAGTATTTTGAAATTTAAATTTAGTTATTGAAAATAATAATTTTTTGGGTATCTAAAGTAAAATGAAAAATAATTACCCTAAAGCTTAGCTATTTTAAAAAATAGAGCTCACAATATAAGAGTTATTTCCATTAGAATGAGTTATATATAGAACTCCTCCATCACTAAAAGCTTTACAATATTATGAGCTGAAGTTAGAAATTTAAAATTAGGTAGCTTAATTAATAAATGCAAATCCTCCACTCTCACCAGATTAGCTATTTTGAGCATCAATTCTAAATAATATCAAGCTTCCGTTTTCAAAATAAATACATCCCCCATTTTTTGATTTAGAATTTAAAAACTAGGAATCATTTATTTTTAAATTAGAGTATGTAGAATATATTGATCCTCCTTGTTATAAACCTTAATCGCTGTCAAAAAAAGACCCTTCAATTTATAGCTCACTTTATGAAGAAAATATCGAGCCACCATAATTAGCTAAGTTATTTTTAAAAGTTGAGTTTTTTATATTAACTAATGATTTTTAATCAATATTGACAATTGAATTCAATTGATTTAATCCACCTGATTTATTGTTTAAGAGCTTTAAGTTTAAAATTTAGAGGATTGACTGAGTAATAATTAAAGCCTAAACTGCATCGTTATTTGTTATTTCTGTATTTTGAAGAGCGCCTTAATTTTAATTTTATATAACAGCCAGATTATAGAACCCTTAGTTCAAACTAACTACAAATTTATCAAGATTAAAATCACTAATTGTTTTTATTGAGACAATAGTATTTTGATTAGTAAAATCACTATTTTAGATGATGTTAAAATCAGTGATCTTCAACGTCTGGGTTATAACTTCTAGCACACAATACTACTAAATATCATTAAATGTATTATTACTTAAAGTTACATTCTAAATTTAGGTGTAATCATTATTTATTTACTAATTGGTTTCAAAAATATTTTCTTCTAAATTTAAGCTTTTTTTATATTAAAGGAACATCAAGTTTTCATTATTTTTAAATTGAGTGCTATTAAGCTACAGATTTTAAATTAAGTAACTTTTTATTAATGGTAAAGATACGCCATTATTAGAGATTAAGCTCATATCTGAAAAAGAAACGTTAAAGTAATTAGAAATAAAAATAGGAGCAACATATTAAGAGTCTGAAATGTAATTAAATTGACATTTTGTAATATTTATCTAATCAAAATCTATTAAAGCTTTTTACACTTTTAAGTCATCTTGGAAATAAAAGAGAGAGGTTTAATTAAAGATTGATTAAAATACATTTATTTATTAAAGTTTTATTTATTTTACTCCTGTAATTTTAAATAGATTTATTAAATTTGGACTATTTAAAATTAATCCAGATATAGTTAGTTACTAGAAGAAGACATTATTGATAGAGCTTATTTAGAAACTAAATAACTTTTAATTTCCTACTAATTAAATATTGTTCATTTAAAATGTTTATATTTCTTGAATTAAAAACTAGATATAGTCATTTTAAGAAATTGCTGGTTATATTTATAAGTTATTTAAAGATACAAGATTATATCCTGAAAACGAAGTAAACAGGTCTTCACTGGTAATTATTTTGTATTGTGTTGAATTATTTTTTGAAATAATGTTCACTTGTGAGTGGTTTGAGAACTAAAAAGGAGGAAAAGGTGATAAAATTGTATCTCCTTCAATCAATACATTAAAGATAAATTATTAAATAGGAAAGTAGTTCTATATTTATAGATAAATACTTTGAATAGATTATAATACCTAAGCAAATTAGTCTGAAGTAATCTCCTATTAGCAGATTGACTAGCCAAATATAGGAAGTTATATTTAAGCTATTTAAAATCCAGAGTATAAAATAAGTTATGCATAAATATTTTCATTTGTGTCAAATATTTCATAATCTGCTACTTTTCCAAACATCCAGAAGTTTTATGAATAAATACCTAACAAAGTTATTGTTTAGTTGAGTCTATTAATTCTATAGGTCTATATTTGATAAGTGTAAGCATCAAAAAAATAATCTTTATTGATGAAAATTATTTTGTTGCTAATTGGGGTAAATACGGGATTTGTAGGATTTTAAAGAAGGGTAGATGTAAATCTTCCATAAGATACTAACTTGAAAGTTGAAAATTCATTAATTTGATAAATTCCTAGACAACTTTAGATAATATAAACAAGGTCTAAGTTTATATCAAGTTTATAAGAATAACCAATGCAGGGACTAGTAACTTAAACTATTAGAGTTAAGTCATAAGGGTTCATTAAACTTAATGAAAAATCATGTATTCTTTTAATAAATACCTATTATAATTCATTTAAATAATTATTAATATAAAATTTATTATATTGATAAGAAAATTTGCAAAAATTCAAATTGAAATGGCTCAAATTTTACAAGTAGATATAACTCTTCTAAAATTAATGAAATTGTAAAAGTAATTGAGTTTTATAAATGTTTTAAAAAAAAATATTTTCTTAATTATAAATAAAATTAAAAAATAGGTAGATTTTTACATAACCATTGGTGTATTATAGAATATGAGCATGAGAGCTTATTCCAGGGAGCAAAAGTGTTTATTATTTTAAAATAACAAGTTCCTAAGATAATACAATTTAAGCTATTTACCCATTCAAAGACGAAGCTATTAAAATATAGCTTTCAGATTATTCTATAAATAAGCTATTTACTATAGCTTCACTGAGGAGTTATAAATTAAATATTTAGTTGAATTATAACTATTATGATGAAAGATTAAGACTGTAACCAATGACATATCCTTAAGTTGTAGTTACAAAAAAACTTTTAAGTGGCACAATAGCTTTAAGTTCTATTATAGAAGAGTTTTTATCAATCGAAATTTATTAAAATACTATATATTCATTCACATCTAAAATTGTTATGTAATTCACATATGAACAGATCAAATATCCTTGTATTTAGGTGTGTCTGAAACATTTTTGCTTTTAGACGTTAATTATTGATAAAGTATTTATATCAAAAAATACTGTTTATTCACGAGTTAGTAAAGCAGCAATTGAAGTTTAACCTTCGATGAGGATGAATTCACTTTAGACATCTATATCTAAGTCTGTAACATAAAATCCATATCGTAATTGCTTAGACTTATAATCCCAAAGCTAAACAACATTGCCTTCTTGATAGAATATAATTCCTTACTATGTTTAAAGAGTTGACATCACACCTATAAGTTTTTACAAATATTTTAATAAAACACCATAAAAAATCTTAATATAAATAAAGAAGTTAAATAATGATGAAAAAGAATATAATTGATTAATTTAAAATTTATTAAAAACTAAATAACTCAATTCACTTTTTAGAACAAAAATTGTATTAATAAATTTGAATATTACCTACTTATGTATAAGAGATAGTGTAAGCATTTGATTACATGAATTAAATAAGATTATAATAGCCAATTGTATTAGAACCTAAACATCCAAATATTAACATGTTGTGCATTGAGTCAAGATAAAGATTATTTATTTAAGAATTAGTCACTTGAATTTATTTAATAAGGACTAATTATGGATATGTTAATACATAAATATAGCCATTAAAATCTGATATAAAAACATAATTATTATCTTTGTCAAGAAAACCATCATACAGTGGATTTTAAAGCTATATCTCATACCTAATTAATTTTATTAAAGTTTATTAATAATTTACAAAAGATATTATTACATTTTATTTGGATAAGGCAAACTCTTATAACTCCAAGTTTTTACATATCTGTCTTTGCTGGTAATTATAAAAAAAATAAATATTCAAATTTATATATATATAAATATGCTTACCTTACAGTAGTTAGAATTAAATTTTATTCATCGATTAGACTTTAATATATCCAATTCTAATGAGCACTTATATAACCTAAATTTACACAGTTATAATCGAAAATTCTAACATCTCCATTGTGCTATAATATTAAAAAAATGTTATATATATTTAATTATCCTTTAAAATTATTTACATCCCATAATATTTGTAGTTTGTTAGTATAGTCAAATTTCCCAAATAATCCTTCAATCTAGCACCTGTAATTTAAGGTGTAATAATCCATAGTTTTTGACCACCAAGTCCACTAAATAAATTAATTTAAATTTAATTTTTAAAAATTTGTTTAGATTGTTAAATTAATTAAAAATTTATGAATTTAAATAAATTTATTTTTTTATCTTTTCATATTTTAAAATGGGTTTATAAGAATACATATTTAATGGTTATAAAGTAAATTTTTAAAGAATTAAATAATAAAAGTTTTACCCCAAGAAACATGATAAGTTAAGCTTAAGGATTGAAAACTATACCTGTAATTCTATCAGTATATTCTATCTGATCAAATACTTAAATTAATTAAAAATTTCTGGATAAATCCCAAACAACAATAGTTCCAGGTGAAAAGCAGCCTATAAAAAGTCTATTTAAATATTCGTCATAGAAAAATTTATTTATTGTAACACACTAAGAAACATTATGGTTCAACATACCAATCTGTTTATATGTATCCAGCTCATACACTATAACTTAGTTGGAGGTTACATTTGCAAATCCAACAAACAAATAATTTTATGATGGTATGGAATATATTATATAGGAATTAGTTAAATCAAAGCTAGTTGGTGAGCTAGAAATATATTCCTATTTTATTTAATTATATAGCTGTATTTAGTTTGATAGCATTAGAGTCAAACCACTTTTTACATCTATAAAAAAGCTATTTAATTTATTTGGGCTTACTATTTAATTAATTAAGCAATTATCTGTCAATGTTCTTGTAAACATCTATTAATATAATAAAAATGACTTTATCAAATATATTTTCTTTTTAAAATTTAAATAAAAAAATTGATATTTTTAAAAATTTGATATAAAACATCATTTATTTTCATAATTTTTTAAATAAAAACATTAATTCTTTTTGGATTAAAAATTAATAAAAAAATCAAATTTACTAACAAAATTTGTGCAAAAAATATCCTTTGAAGTTTTAATTAAAATGAAATTCTAGATTAATAATTTATTACGTAAGTATCTGACTTAAGGACAAGGGTGTTATATTTTGAGTCTAAATATTTAATATCAGCATGATACCCATTATTGAATACACTTTGAATAATATTATTTATATAGTTATATAAAAGGACCTATCCATCATTATATGCAACTATAACTAATTATTTGCCTGTAAAAACATCAACTGTTTGTATTTCATTAGAGTATATTTATATTTGATTGAGAGTATTTGCAGTATTAATATCTATAACAAGAATTTTTGAATTGCTTAATACTGCTATTAGTAAGCCTTTAGCTCCATCAAATGTATAAAATAACACATATTAATCATTTAGATTAAATATTTCTTGTTTATAATTCTGATAATTTATAAAGCAAAGCTGATTTCCTTTATTTAAAACAAGTGTTTGCTTTTCATCTACTAAAGATATCTGTAAAGGTTATCCTACATTGTAGTTTAGGTTGTTGATTAAATTAAAGGTATTGCCGTCATATTGATATATCTTTTTTTAAAAAATATAATCTTATTTTTCAAATAATATACGCTTTAATATTTAAAAAAGCAATAATATTGAAATTTAAAAATATTATTTACCTAAATATTCTATTGTTTGATAGAAATTAGAGTTTATGCATAGCTAAGATAAAAATATGATATCACCTAATCAGTATTATTTTATAAATTTATTTATTAATTACTATTCATACTTGAATAATAGTAATTGAAAAAAGCTAGATATCCATTAATTCCTACTAATATTTGTTATTTTTATTCTAGCAAAATGATTTCACCATCGATAAAACCATTATTTTGAAGTACGCCACTAAATATTAGTGAGTGATCTAAACTGTTATCAAGCTTGTATATTGCATATTATGTTGTTTGCTTAACAAATCCTATGATAAGCTTATTTTGCTTGTCTTAAATAAGTACAAAATCTTAAAGATTGCTTTATCCAAAAGGATTTATTATATTTTCTATTAATTTTCCGAATATATAATCATAGATTGATATCAAAGCATAGCCTGGGATCGTATAAGTTTAATATTGTATGAGCTTTACATTTAAATTAGTTTTTTTAAATTATAAATGGGTAAATCAAAATATGAAGTTTTAATTTTGCACTCCAGGAATTATTTTGATGAATGCAGAGAAGAAGAATTTAATTCCTGTATATGTTATTTATTAGGTGAATAAAAATAAATTATAATTTTTAAATTGTAGGTTTAGGACCTTATTTTCTTATTTTTAAATTTAGCTTTTTACTATTTTAATAGTTTTATTTATTTTTTATAATATTATGTTTTGAATATGTTTAAATAAAGCTTTAAATCATATAAAAATCATAAAATTTATTAATTTTTTTGAATTATATCTTATTTAATAAATTTCAAAATATTTTCATTTAATTTATTAAGTAAATTAATAAATATTTTTCTAATGAAAAATAATTAAAAAAATGGGAAAAAATATAAAATTTTAATTAATTTTTCAAAACAATTGATCATTTTATTTAAGAATTTATAAATTATTTGTTTTTTAAAATCATAAATTAATCTTTTTTTATAATAACAAATCTTTAAATTAAATTAATTCTTGATCTCCGCAGCAATAAGAATTTAAAACCTGGAAATGCGATATTGTAAATAGTCAATACATAATAACAAATTTCAAATAAAATTTCTATAAACAAATTTACTTTGTTGATTGATTTATCTATAAAAAAGGTAGTATTATGGCTAATAAAACCTGTTTATTTTTCTAATAAGTTGTCAAACAATGACCAATACTATATATTTCCTGCTTTATCAACTTTAATTATTCTAATTTATTTTATTATAAATTAAAAGTTTTTTTAGACTGAAAAAATTTACCTATTAAAATCTGAGTCAATTTAAATTTATACAGCTACATCATAAGATGATTCAGCTTTATCAAAGTAATCCATGAAATAAATAAATTTAGATGTCTTGAGATCTAAAGTAGAAACAGATTATTCTTCACACACCACAACTTAATCCTCAACTACAAAAGCTTGCATCCATTTAAATGTTGTTAACTTAAGCGCTTAATTTTTAAATAAAAGAGGACTTTTCTCTTCTAAAGAGTATACAAATATGTATTTTTTAGAAACAGCTGATATTTGGTTTTTTTGATTGATAGATCCAAAAGTAAAATCAATAGTAGAATCTACTGAAGTTTAGTTCGCATCTCTTTGATCGCAATAAATTTTTTAGAAATCTGCTTAATATACTAAGATATTTTATTTCATTGACCAAACCTAAAATAAATTAGACTCTCCTATTAATATGACAAAGTCTTCTTCTTAGCTAACCAATACCTATGTTGAAACAGAAGGAAAAGTATTTTAAAACTGTAGAACTGAGTTTTTATATGAAGACACATAGAAAGACCCATTTTATGAAGCATATGCTATAGAAATTTAATTTTTAGTCGTGTAAATTGACTAAAAATTAAGAAAATTTTCTACTTAAAATAGCTTTTAAAAAAGTTAGCTATTAATATCAAATGCGAAAAAACCACCTTAAGAATCAACAAGCAAAAATCTTCTGTTTGCCTTATCGCTCACACACTGAGTTATTTAAGCTTTTTTCAACTAAATTATCGTTATTTTTGAATCAGAAATGGCTGAAGAAGAATAATCGATGACAAATAGCTATTTTTAATGGAAAAGAAAGAATAAATTAATAAAAAGTTTTTAAAAAATACGTTTGATGTGTCCCATGTCACAACTATTAGTTCTTCAGAATTCAAACATGATTTAGGATTGATTTAAATTTAGGAAGGAATTTAAAGAGTACTCTATTTTGATCCGTTTCCTGAGTTCCATCCAATAATTCTTCCCTTAGCATCTAGGGTATGAATAACAGACACTTATAGGTTTTATCTATCATCTTTATCAATTTGGTAGAATTGAACATCTTCTGACTATTCAATTGTTGTGTACTTAACATTTTTAGCGAAATTAAAAATTCCAACAGTGAAAGGATAGTAGACGATTGCAGCAATATCTTGAAAATCTTGCTGAGGATCAGATTTCAAAAGTATCATAGTCTATATTTATGTAGAGTAGTTTGAAGATCCTGCTATCCAAAAAGGACATCCTATTGCGTTAACTAAAGTTAATTAAGAGAAAAGAAGGCAAAACTTTAATCTTATTAAGAATTCTATCTTAAATGAAATCATTGTTTTTCAATTTTCGTATTATTATTATTATATTATTATGATTTATAACAAACATAAAATTTAAACCCTAGAGAGCTAATATAAATAACAGCTATTTGAGAGATATAATATGTAATATATAATATATTTTGACAATGTTACACCAGTGAACAAAATAAATTAGTTATCTAATCTTTTTTGTAATTACACTAAATTACATTAAATTTCTACAAGAAATTTTTACACTGACGTCACATTTTCAATATCTATTAGATTACAAATTTTAAATATATTTAAAAATTACATTCAAATCAGAAAAGGAACCAATAAATAGCATACAAGCTAAAATCTATTCACTTTTTTAAATTTCATTACTAATTCCTATGAAATGCCAAAGATTAACAAAATTAGTAGCCAAATACTATAAGTAGCATGAGCCTAACTAATAAAACATTTTTTCATTCTTTATTTTTGATTAAATAATAGAAGTAAATAAAATGGATATAAACCAATCAGTTATTCTATATTATTTTTAAATTTTTTTTGAAAAGCAAAAAAAAAAGTTGAAGAAAATAAAAATATGTAATTGCGCTAAAAGAATTCTACAATTTGGCTTTAATATCTTGTTTATAAATTTTGAAAGTTGTTTAAAGATTTCATTTAAAGGGAATTTAAAATGTATTATACAAACATTTTTTAAAATTTGAATCCTTTTTTAGTATTATAAGTGCTAATCAAAAATGATTAAACTGTAAAAATGAAAAAAAGTTTTCTTAGAAAAGTTTGCAATTACCTATAATAGCTTAATTATCTAATAAGTTAAACTAAATAAAATAAGTAATTTAAATAACCTTATTTTTGAAGGTATTTCAGTAAAATAAGAATAATTTTAAATATTAATAAAAACTAATAATCAATTATTATCAATTTAGTTAGCCAAATAAAAATAAATAAAATATAAATTATCGTTATTATGATAAAGTTAAATTTTATTTATCAGATAATCAAAGAAAAAAGCATTCAAGCTAAAATCTATTAATTTTTTTAAATTTCATTACAAATTCTTACAAAATGCCAAAGATTAACAAAATTGGTAACAAAATATTATAAATAGTATGAGCATAACTAATAAAACATTTTTTTTATTCTTTGAATTTGATTGAATAAAATAAGTGAATAAAAAGGATAGATACTAAAGAGTTATCCTATATTATTTTTAAATTTTTTTGATGAAAAGCAAAAAAAAAGTTGAAGAAAATAAAAATATGTAATTGCGCTAAAAGAATTCTAAAATCGGCTTTAATATTTTTGTTATAAATTTTGAAAGTTGGTTAAAGATATCATTTAAAGGGAATTCTTTAAAATATATTATACAAAACATTTCAAAATTTGCTTCCTTTTTTAGTATTACAAGAGCTAATTAAAAATGAATTAAACTGTAAGAATGAAAAAAAAAGTGTTCTGAGAAAAGTTTGCAATTAATTATAATAGCTTAACTGTCTAATAAGTTAAATTAAATAAAATTAGTAATTTATAATACCTTATTTTTGAATATATTTTAGAATAATTTTAAATTTTTAAAGTTGATCAAAATGGAATGAAAATTAGATTAAATTGATTATTTGGTTTATAATACTTTATTTATTATTAATAACTGTAATCAAAACTAAAATTTATTCATTAATCTATTAATCTAAAGGAATTTAATGTTGGAGAAAAATAAAAAATTTACTTTTCAGTAATCAAATTAAAATTTGTAATTTAGCATTTACTTTACATCAAAAAATTTAAAATTAAGAAAGTGAAGAAAATTATAATTTTGTTGCAAAAAATAAAAGTATAACACACAACTTAAAATATTTTAATTTTAAAAAAAAGGGCGAGGGTCTGATGAGACGTATGACCTCAGATGGAGGTGAGATGAGTTGAGGCATTGATTTTTTAATGAAATCTAATTTTATTAGATTTGAGAGTGAGCTAATACTGTGCAAACAATCAAATTTTAATTGAGATTTTCTTGAGTTATTAATTTATCAATATTTATGTGTCATTTAGCAAATGATTTACAAAAGAAATTTAATTAGTGAAATGACGCTTCTTTCAAAATTGCAATTCAATAAAAAAGTTGCTCCATTCAAATTAGATGGAAATATCATTGGTAAAGATAAAAAAATAATTATTTGGAAATAGCCATTTCAAAAAGCAGCTTTACCCTCAGTGTACCTTCAAAAGGAAAAGACTTTTCTAAAATGGATACGCAAGAGTCCCTGTAGCAGGTTTACGTTGAGAAGGGTGGAGTGATAACGGCATCTCACAATTATGAGTAGTGCATAACACAGCTTAGAAGCCTCTAACTACTGTGCATATAAGTGCCCTCAGCATACGGCTGATGAGGAAGCGAAATGGTATGACAATGTAGATGGCCTGATCTTTTAGTACAGAAGATGCAAATAATCCTAATCCATTAAGACTAACAGCATTTTTTAATGTAGTAAGCTACTGTTTTTGATTCTTTATCGATGTGTGTTTGTCTGCTTCTTATGGAATATGAGCATCAGAGAAGCACAGAGTTTCTCTGTGCCAAGTGAATCTGCAGCTAAGCGAATCAAATGAAGCTCTACTCAGATCGAAATGCAGAAAACATCATCGAAGTTGACGAGTCCCATTTCACGTCCGAGGCATGACACTCAAAGCTAGATCTTTGTGATGATCGAAAGTAGGACAGGCTCTTTTCGCTGCATAACAGTTGGTAACGACCTCACAGTTGAGAATTTACTTCCAAAACTTGAGATTTATATTGCAACAGACGATGAAAATAGGAATATTGTTAAACCGATAGTGCTGCATTCTACTCATTCATCGATGAATGAAGCTATGAGAGAGGAGAGTAGTCAATCATTAGGTAGGTATTGGGAAGGGAAAATAGACCATGAATTACATTGAGTCTCTCTGGGGCTGGTTGAAGAGCTAAGGTGGATTAATTTAAGGCTAAAATTTCACTAGAGTTGATTAGGTGCAGCATGCAGTAAATAAAGTATTCTGGAGAGTCTAGAATCGATACTGCCACCTTGAGGTACTTAGAGGTCAAAAATGGGAGAGGGGTTTGGACAAAATCGACATTTTTAACAATTTACAAGTCATTTTTTGAAATAGTCCTCAATAGCCGATGAGAGCCAATAAAATTTGAATATGTTTTTTTTTCTTTTCTTATTTTATTTAATGAAACATTCATTAATTTATATAAATAAATTATAAATACTATTTATTATTTTATTGATAATTTATTTTTAAATTGATTGCTTGTTTATTTTTTTAATTTAAAATAAAATAAAATTTAATTTTATGTTTTTTTATGTTAAAATCACTTAAAAAACTAATCTTCAACAAGTTCATCATTTTTTGTTTGTTATTATTCATTTTATTAACTCTCATCACTATTATCCATTAATTAGCTATTTTAATTTTTTGTTTATTATAAATGTTATAAAAAATTATCTATAAAATAAAAATTACTATTTCATTAGAATTAAAGAATAAAGCCCATTTAATATTTGATTCGTCTTAAGTTTCTAAATCTTCTGATGGAAGAATTTATTCAATTGCTATCTAAACCTTTTTATCAAATCCTTCCTGTTAAATTAATTCTTATAGTTCATCTTATATGTCTGAAGTTTAATTGTCTGAATTTAATAAAAGATTTTAAATGTATTCAGTAATTTTTTACTTGTAAAGCGATTGATTTGATATTTTTGGTTAACAAGATGATTTTCACTTCCATCAAGATTATCAGTATATCCACAAAATTTAAATGATTTTTATTCCTAATCATCAAACTATTCAAGGGCTCAATAATCCATTTAACCATATATATACTTTTGGACTTTTAATTTTAATTATAATTAATTTATTAATAAATAAATGAAATCTGTTGAGCGAGAAGGAAGCAAAAATTTTTGAATTCTGTATTTTTTAAAGAACTCATCAATTTACAACAAACTTTAAATTAACCATGCAATAAAACTATTTATTGAGATTTTTGAATCTTCAATATTTGTTATTTTGGAACAAAATAAATGTAATTGACATCAGATTTACACCATATATTTAAATTTTTTGTAATCAAGCATTTTTTATTATAAGAATTCTTTAATATACTTTATAAATTTGATTTAAATATAAATATTGGTGGTAAACTCTCCTAAACTAGATAATCTTATTAAAATAGTTACTACTTTTATATTTTTTCATTATGTGTTTAGTTTGTATGTTTTTCTTACCACAAAACTTTAAAGTAGACTTTTCCTGACATATCGAATATGATAGGAACTATATCTATGTTAACAAAAATCGGTTGTTTTTATCTTTTATTCTTTCTAACCTATTGTTTTTAACAGATTCTAAAAAAATTATTAATTTTTTCTAATGTTTTATTAGTTAAATTTGCTATTGAATGAGTTGATTGCCTATATGAGATTCACCATCTCATTTTAAACCTCATGAACCATCAATTTGATGCAACAAATGTATCTTCAGGTTTTTTATTTAGCTTTTAAAATAATAAAAAAGCTTTATTACAAGTATCTTTTTGAGTTATCTATTTCTTCTTTGCTCTTTAATCAATTTACCACCTGAGTAATTAGAGTTCCATTAAAATAAATTTTGGTAATTTATTACAACTTTTCTATAATTTAAAATTTCATTTACTCTCTCTTTCTTCTTATGATAGTAATTAAATATAATTTCATGAAATTTAATAGAAAATTTATGAAAAAATAGAGTTTATCTAATAAATTATAAAAGTTAATGATCAAGGTTTTACGGTATATTATGAGAATAATACCACAATATCCAAAAGCTTAATTATTATAAATGCAGAGATTCTTAAATGTTAATTTATTAATTATATCTTTCTTAAGAATAAATTACCAGTCATTGTGAGTTTTTAGCTAATTTCTGAAAAAAAATTTTGTTTTTGCAAATTAGAAAATTTTAATTTATTTAGTCATTTCAATAAATTAAATAAGAACTCTTAAAAATTATTTTTTTATAAATTTAAAGATAAAATAATAAAAAAACTTATCTAAGTTTCGAACCTTAATAAACAAAAAAATAAATAAATTAATCAAAGATTTAATTTTTTAAGAAGAAATCTAAATTTTAAATCAAGCATTTAATTTTTAGAGCTAAACATTTTTTTTCATTCATTTTATATTTTAAAAAATAAATTAATTCAAGATTAAATGTTTGATTAAAAATTTTTAATTTTTCTCTTCTACCAGGTTCGAAACCTACTTCAAAACCTTTTTTTTATTTCTTTTAATTTTTTTTTATTTTATTAAATAACATTTATTGTTCTACTAAATGTATATTTATAACTCAAGAAATATTAACTGGAGAATATAGTTATATCATTCAGTAAATTCTATTTAAACTTTAATTAAATAAAAAGAATATATGATTAATAAAAATAAAAAAAATTTTAAGTATTTTAGATATTGTGTCTAAATTAACAAAAGTATTCTAACTTATTTTAAAAAAGAGCTAAAAAACATGAGAACATATATAAGACTAAACAATTATATAATTTTTATAATTTCTAAGTAACAAATTTGTTTTAATCAATTTTATGTTTCTTTATCGATATTGCCAAATGATTTTGTATTCATTTTATATTTATTGATGCTAAATCTTTATCGTTATTACCTGTTTGAATGTTTTTTAAATAGCAATGCGGTTGGACTATTTAAAGAATTCGAAGAATTATTCTATTAAATTGAGAATAACTACTTTGGTGATTTAATATTGATACTGATAGGCTAATCTATTTTTGAATCTAATGCTTTGTTTGCACTTGAATCTATTAATTTCTAAAAATTTTCAATTTAGATTTTGGTTAAATCTCCGTTTTAAATAGATCTTCTTAATTTTGACCAACTATAAAAATAAATATTTTTAAAGTAAATTAAAGTTGTTAAATTATTTAATAATAAATTTACTTGTTAAATACTTTGAAAGGATCATATTCTTAATTAAAAAGTAAATTGTATAGTAAAAAATTCTTTTTATACAAGTACTTTTTAGCCCATTATTAGTTATTTACTAATTTGTTTGATACACATTAAAATATCTTAAGAAAGCACTTACTTTTTAAAAAGAAATACTAATTTCTTCTAAAAATTACACCAATAAAACTTATTGCTAATTATCCTATTTTAATTTAAATAATTAATGCTTAAATATTAAAGAAGAAAGGAAAATTAACTTACCAAACATCATTATTAATAATACAACCAAAGTAACTGAAAAAATAAAACTAAGATACATTTTATCATCATTCAACTATTCAAACAAAGCAACCCAAAATATTAAGAGAACATAAGTGGCTGATTTAGACTCTAACTTGTTTATTTTACGATCTTAATATGGCTTAAAGAGTATTATAGAAGCGCAGTAGATTGATTATACAAATATAACTGTAGTCAACTAAATTTAAGGTTAACTATTGTAGTAGGTTGACAAAAATAAGATTAAAACCTTATACCATGTTTTGATAAACTCCCACCACCATCTGTTTCTTTTAAAGCCTTAGAAGAAATAACCATACCTTCTTATAACATTTGTTGAAGTATTGTTGAACATTTTAGAATGGTTTCTACATAATACATATAACATAGTTATAGGATAGATAATTATGACTGTTACTAAAATAGGAAGTATTAAAAATACTATGTAGAATTTATGCTCAGTATTATAACATTCTTAGTCCATCTAACTTTTCATGTAGTATGTATCTCCAAACTTTTCACAAATAATAATTTCTAATGCAGCCTAGTAAATATTCTATGAAGCAATATAACTGAATACAATTATAGTACTAATTGCCATGTTAGCATTATTAAATTTAGTTTAAGTATAATAGTATTGATTTGGCATAAAATATTATACTCCAATAAAAATTAAGTTAATAGAAATATAAATTAGTAGCAAAAAGACACATGGAAGCACAATTGAGATGTATATAAATCTCAAGTATTGGATTGGTATGTTGGAATTTAACTAACTCAAGCTACAGTCTATTGAATATAAAAACACCAATATTGGTTATGAAGTCGTTTGAGGAAAGGTAAATAAGCTCTAGAATAATCCAGGGAATGTAAAACCAATACTAGATTTCAAAGCCGAGATTACATAAAATTAATTTATAAAGATCTTTGATATTACTGTAGATTAAAGTATAAACTATGATACTCCCATTTAGAGAATATTAAGTGAGGATATAATACGAATTTGACACATTTTACAATTGCTGTTTTAAGATTCTATAATTAAAAAAACTAGATAGAGTACTATTCCTAAGAGTAATAATATTTATTTAAATGAATTATTTTAAATTGAAGAGCATAAAGAGCATTCAATGCTTTTCTTACCTAATTCACTAACTTTTCCATATTTATTACCCCATACTTACCCATAATCATCACATGATGAGCATAAAACCCCTGTGTATCCCTCTTAACAGTACCCTTTTGTTGAGTCTCCATTACAAGGGTTTGAAAGCTAATCGCATTAGTATATATCATCAGAATTGTTACTTTATCTCCTATATTTTTAAATAGAAATCCTTAAATATTAAACATTAAATTTTGAATAAATTAATTACCAGTAATTTTCCCTTAACACAATTTGGTTTAGCTCACAAAAACTAGCTTTTTAATTGTCACAACTTTTACATTAAATTTCATCTCCTATTTATGGATAAATGAGAGAATAGGTTCCATTTAAACATTAAACGCACTCTTACAATTAACAGTCTTAGCATACTGAATTATAGTACTCACCTACTTAACAACTTCTAAAATATATTGAAATATCTATATTATCCACACTAATAAATTGATTAGTACTATTTAGAGTCTTCATTCCATTGAGTGAAAGCTATATAGTAGCATTTTTAGATGGAACTCCTGTAATTTTAAAATTATTCATAAAGCATCCTATTTTTTGAGGTGAGTAATAAGCATAATCAACTAAAGTTGCACCTTCTATTTTCACAATTTGATCTTATAAAAATGTACTGCTTTGTTAAATATTTATCCTACAATTATATGAGCTTATTTCTTAAAATAACTCTTAACTTATTTAACTAACCAAAGCTATTTGTTAAACATTGAAATAATTAGAAATAAAAATTAAAAAAAAAAAATTCATTACTTTGATTTTATAAATCTATTTGTTTGACTTAATTTTTAAATTCATCCAAAAATTAAATAGTCAAGTCAAAGTTACTTTACCCACTTCTAAAATTTTTAAAGGTAATATTTGGGTAATTTTTAATATCAACATCGAAATCTTTACTTGGTAAAATAGAAGCAAATTAAGGATAACTTGCAATCTAATCACCGAAGATAATAGCTTTATTAGATTTGCACTAATTCTAACAAAATGTTTTACAAGAATCTCTTGAAGAATTACCTTTATCAATTAAAAACTAAGGCTTTAAATCAAAATACCTTATAACTCCTCCTATTCCGGCTGTGTTACTTATGAAGTTTGATTTAGAAATTATTATATCTGAACCATAAAGTAAAATAACTCCTCCGCTCCTATTTTCATATTTTTAATCAAAAATTGTAGATATAAAATTATAAAAAAGTTAGTCAAAATATTAACGAATTCAAAAATTATTTTTTAGAATTTATTTTTTTAATGGAAATAAAATACTTTAATTTCTCATAAATCAGCAATTCTTTCTATATTAAATTTTATTATTTGCTGTAATGGTTTCAAATTTATTGTATTAGTATTGCCATATAATAGTTATGTTTACCGTTTTTAACAATTTTAATGTAAGAAGAATTAGTATTTTGAAATTTAAATTTATTTATTGATAATAGTAATTTTTTGAGTAATTAAAGTAAAATGAAAAATAAATACCCTAAAGCTTAGCTATTTTAAAAAATAGAGCTCAAAATATAAGAGTTATTTCCATTAGATTGGGTTATATACAAAACTCCTCCATCATTAAAAGCTTTACAATATTATGAGCTGAAGTTGGAGATTTAAAATTAGGTAGCTTAATTAATAAATGCAAATCCTCCACTCTCACCAGATTAGCTATTTTGAGTATTTATTTTATATAATATCAAGCTTCCATTTTCAAAATAAATACTTCCCCCATTTTTTGATTTAGAATTTAAAAACTAGGAATCATTTATTTTTAAATTAGAGTATGTAGAATATATTGATCCTCCTTGTTTTAAACCTTAGTCGCTGTCAAAAAAAGAACCTTCAATTAATAGCTCACTTTATGATGAAAATATCGAGCCACCTTAATTAGCTAAGTTATTTTTAAAAGTTGAGTTTTTTATAATAACTAATGATTTTTAGTCTATGTTGACAATTGAATTCAATTGATTTAATCCACTTGATTTATTGTTCAAGAGCTTTAAGTTTAAAATTTAGAGGATTGACTGAGTAATCATTAAAGCCTAAACTGCATCGTTATTTGTTATTTCTGTATTTTGTAGAGTACCTTAATTTTAATTTTATATAACAGCCAAATTATAGAACCCTTAATTTAAATTAACAACACATTTATCAAGATTAAAATCGCTAATTGTTTTTATTGAGACAATAATATTTTGATTAGTAAAATCACTATTTTAGGTGATGTAAAAATCAGTGATCTTCAATGTCTGACTTATAATTTCTAGTGCATTATACTACTGTATATCATTAAATGTATTATTGCTTAAAGTTATATTCTAAATTTAGATGTAATCATCATTTATTTACTAATTAATTTCAAAAAATTTTTTTTCTAAATTTAAGCTTTTTTTATATTAAAGGAACATCAAGTTTTAATTATTTGTAAACTGAGTGTTATTAAGCTATAGATTTTAAATTAGGTAACTTTTTATTAATGGCAAAGATACACCACTATTAGCATTGATATTCATATCTGAAAAAGAAATGTTAAAGTAATTAGAAATAAAAATAGGAGCAACATATTAAGAGTCTGAAATGTAATTAAATTGACATTTTGTAATATTTATCTAATCAATGTTTATTGAAGCTTATTACACATCTATGTCATCTTGGAAATAGAAGAGGGTGGTTTGATTAAATATTGATTAAAATACATTTATTTATTAAAGTGTTATTTACTTTACTCCTGTAATATTAAATAGATTTATTAAATTTGTACTATTTAAAATTAATCCAGATATAGTTAGTTACTAGAAGAAGACATTATTGATAGAGCTTATTTAGAAACTAAATAACTTTTAATTTCCTACTAATTAAACATTAATCATTTCAAATGTTTATATTTCTTGAATTAAAAATTGGATATAGTCGTTTTAAGAAGTTGCTGGTTATATTTATAAGTTATTTAAAGATACAAGATTATATCCTGAAAACGAAGTAAATAGGTCTTCACTGGCAATTATTTTGTATTGTGTTGTGTTATTCTTTGAAATAATGTTCACTTGTGAGTGATTTGAGAACTAAAAAGGAGGAAAAGGTGGTAAAATTGTTTATCCTTCAATCAATACATTAAAGATAAGTTATTAAATAGGAAAGTAGTTATATATTTTTTGATAAATACTTTCAATAGATTATAATACCTAAGCAAATTAGTCTGAAGTAATATCCTCTTGGCAGATTGACTAGCCAAATATAGGAAGTTATATTTAAGCTATTTAAAATCCAGAGTATAAAATAAGCTATGCATAAATATTTTCTTATGTGTCAAATATCTAATAATCTGCTACTTTTCCAAGCATCTAGAAGTTTGATGAATAAATACCTAACAAAGTTATTGTTTAGTTGAGTCTATTAATTCTATAGGTCTATATTTGATAAGTGTATGCATCAATAAAATAATCTTTATTGATGAAAATTATTTTGTTGTTGATTGGGGTAAATACGGGGTTTGTAGGATTTTAAAGAAGGGTAGATGTAAATCTTCCATAAGATACTAATTTTAAAGTTGAAAATTTATTAATTTGATAAATTCCTAGACAACTTTAGATAATATAATCAAGGTCTAAGTTTATATCAAGTTTATAAGAATATCCGATACAGGGACTAGTAACTTAGCTGATTAGAGTCAAATCATAAGGATTGAATAAATTTAATGAAAAATCTTGTATTCTTTTAATAAATACCTAATATAAAATTTTTTTAATTTGTTATTTTCATAAGAAAATTTGTAAAAATAAAATTGAAATAACTAAAATTAGATTAATTAAGTCTATAAGTAGATAAAACTATGTTAAAATTTATGAAATTACAAATTTAATTTAATTTATTTTAAAAGTTTTTTTTATATAAAAAAAATAAAAATAATGGCAGATTTTTACATAACCATTGGAGTATTATAGTATATGAGCGTGAGAGCTTATTCCAGATAGCAAAAGTGTTTATTATTTTAAAATAACAAGCTCCTAAGATAATACCATTTAAGCTATTTACCCATTCAAAGATGAAGCTATTAAAATATAGCTTTCAGATTACTCTATAAATAAGCTATTTACTATTGCTTCACTGAGGAGTTATAAATTAAATATTTAGTTGAATTGCAACTATAATGAAGAAAGATTAAGAGTATACCCAATGACCTATCCTTAAGTTGTAGTTACAAAAAAAGTTTTAAGTGGTACAATAGCTTTAAGTTCTATAATAGAAGAGTTTTTATCAATCTAAATTTATTAAAATACTATATATTCATTCACATCTAAAATTGTTATCTAATTCACATTTGAACAAATCAAATATCCTTGTATTTGGGTATTTCTGTAACATTTTTGTTTTTAGACATTAATTATAGATAATGTATTTATATCAAAAAATACTGTTTATTCACGAGTAAGTAAAGCAGCAATTGAAGTTTAACCTTCGATAAGGATGAATTCACTTTAGACATCTATATATAAGTCTGCAACATAAAATCCATATCTTAATAGCTTAGACTTATAATCCCAAAGCTAAACAACATTGCCTTCTTGATAGAATATTATTCCTGATTATGTTTAAAGAGTTGATGTCACACCTATAAATTTAACAAATATTTTAATAAAATATCATAAAAAATATTAATATAATAAAGAATTTAAATAATGATAAAAAACTACATAATTGATTACTTTAAAATTTATTAAAAATTAAATTACTAAATTTACTTTTTAGGAAAAAAATTGTATTAATAAATTTGAATATTACCTACATATGAATAAGAGAAAGTGTAAGCATTTGATTACATGAATTAAATAAGATTATAATAGCCAATTGTATTAGAACCTAAACTTCCAAATATTAACATGTTGTGCTTTGAATCAAAATAAAGATTATTTATTTAAGAATTAGTCACTTGCATTTATCTAACAAGGATTAATTATGGATATGTTAATACATAAATAAAGCCATTAAAATCTGATACAAAAACATAATTATTATCCTTGTCAAGAAAGCCATCATACAGTGGATTTTAAAGTTATATCTCATACCTAATTAATTTTATTAAAGTTTATAAATAATTTACACAAGATATTATTACATTATATTAGGATATTCCACATTCTTATAATTCCAAGTTTTTACATATCTATCTTTGCTGGTAATTATAAAAAAAATAAATATTGAAACTTAAATAAATAAACATAAGTAACTTACCTTATAGTTGTTAGAATTAAATTTTATTCATCAATTAGACCTTAATATATCCAGTTCTAATGAGCGCTTATATAACCTAAATATATGCAGTTATAATCATAAATTCTAACGCTTCCATTGTGCTAATATATTAAAAAATTTTATTACTTTAAATCTTCATTAATTAAGGCTCAAAGAAATAAACACCCAAATTTGAAAATTTTTAGAGCACCCAAAAATTCAAGTTTAAAACGAATTTTAAGTGGTGCTTATAAATGAGGATTTATAGTTTATAATAATTCTTTAAAATAATTTACATCCCATAGTATTTGTAATTTGTTTGTATGATCAAAGTTCCCAAATAATCCTGCAATCCAGCACCTGTGATTTAAGGTGTAATAATCTATAGATCTTGACCACCAAGCCCACTAAATAAATTTATTTTAAATTTAATATTTAAAAATTTGTTTATATTGTTAAATTAATTAAAAAATATTTATTAATTTGAGTAAGTATAAAAAAAATAATTATTCTTTTTTATTTTCTAATTTTAAAATTGGTTTATAGGTATAGATTTTTAAAGAATCAAATTAAATCATAAAAATTTTACCCCAAGAAACATGATAAGCTAAGCTTAAGGATTAAAAGCTATACCTGTAATTCTATCAACGTATTCTATCTGATCAAGGACTTAAATTAATTAAAAATTTTTGGATAAATCCCAAACAACTATAGTTCCAGGTGAAAAGCAACCTACAAAAAGTCTATTTAAATATTCATCATAGAAAAAGTTATTTATTTTGACACATTAAGAGACGTTATGGTTCAACATGCCAATCTGCTTATAAGTATCAAGCTCATATACAATTACTTAGTTGGAGGTTAGATTTGCGAATCCAACAAACAAGTAATTTTGAGATGGTATGGAATATATTATATAAGAATTAGTTAAATCAATGCTAGTTGGCGAGCTTGAAATATATTCCTATTTTATTTAATTATACAGCTATATTTAGCTTGATAGCATTAGAGTCAAACCATTTTTTACATCTATATAATAGCTATTTAATTTATTTGGGCTAACTATTTAACTAATTAAGCAATTATCTGTCACTGTTCTTGTAAACATCTATTAATTTTATAACAATATCTTTATCAAATACATTTTTTTTTTAAATTTAAAAAAATAATTTGAAATTTTTTAATTCACAATTTTTTAAATAAAACTATTAACTCTTTTTTGAATTTAAATTTAATTTAATTTAAAATTGTTTTACTATGTGAATAATAAAATTTAAAAAAAAAATTAGTGCAAATAAAAAAATACCTAAAGAAGCTTTTAAATAAAATAAAAATCTATGTTAAAAATTTATTACGTATAAATCTGACTTTAGGACAAGGGTGTTATATTTTGAGTCTAAATATTTAACATCAGCCTAATACCCATTATTGAATAAACTTTGAATTGCATTATTTATATAGTTATATAAAAGGACTTATCCATCATTATATGCAACTATAACTAATTATTTGTCTGCAAAAATGTCAACTGTTTGTATTGTATTAGAGTATATTTATATTTAATTAAGAGTATTTGCAGTACCAATGTCTACAACAATAATTTTTGAATTGCTTAATACTGCTATTAGCAAGCCTTTAGGTCCATCAAAAGCGTAAAATAACACTAATTAATCATTTAGATTCAATATTTATTCTTTATAATTCTAATAATTCATAAAACGAAGCTGATTTCCTTTATTTAAAACAAGTGTTTGCTTTTCATCTACTAAAGATATCTGTAAAGGTTATCCTACATTGTAGTTTAGAATATTGATTAAATTAAAGGTATTACTATCTTATTGGTATATCTTTTTTAAAAAAAAAAATAATCTTAATTTTCAAATAATATACACATTAATATTTAAAATACTAATAATATTGAAATTTAAAAATATTATTTACCAAAATATTCTATTGTTTGATAGAAATTAGAGTTTAAGCATAGCTAAGATAAAAATATGATATCACCTAATCAGTATTATTTTATAAATTTATTTATTAATTACTATTCCCACTTGAATAATAGTAGTTGAATAAAGATAGATATCCATTAACTCCTATTAAGATTTGTTATTTTTATTCTAACAAAATAATTTCACCATCTATAAATCCATTTTGTTGAAGTACACCGCTAAATATTAGTGAGTGATCTAAACTGCTATCAAGCTTGTATATTACATATTATGTTGTTTGCTTTACAAATCCTATGATAAGCTAATTCTGTTTGTCTTAAATAAGTACAAAATCTTAAAGATTGCTCTATCCAAAAGGATTTATTATATTATCTATTAATATTCCGAATGTATAATCATAGATTAGTATCAAAGTTTAGCCAGTGATCGTATAAGTTTAATATTGTACGAGCTTTACATTTATATTATTTTTTTTAAAATTATTAATGGGTAAATCAAAATATAAAATTTTATTTTTGCACATCAGCAATTAAATTTTTATGGATGCAGTGAAGAAGAATTTAATTCTTGTATATGCTATAAATTAGATTAGTCAAAATAATATTATGATTTTTAAAATTTAGGTTGAAGGTGTTCTTTTCTTATTTTTTAAATTTAAATTTAAATTCTTACTAAAAAAAAGTTTATTTCTTTTTATAATATTATTTTTTTAATTCGTTTCAATAAAACTTTGAATCATTTAAAAAGCATAAATATTGCTTGGTTTTTTGAAATATCTCATATTTAATAAATTTCAAAATATTTTCATTTAATTAATAAATTAAATTATTTTTATATTTTTTTATGAAAAATATAAAATTTGAATAATTTTTCAAAACATTTTATCATTTTCTTTAAGAATTAGGAAATTATTTGTTTTTAAATTATAAACTTATATTTTCTTATTATAGCAAATCTAGGAATTAAATTAATTCTTGGTTTTCACAACAACAAGAAATTAAAATCTAAAAATGCGATTTTGTTAATCCAAAATAGATAATTACAAATTTTAAATAAAATTTCTATATGCAAACTTACTTTGTTGATTGATTTATCAATAAAAAAGGCAGATTAACTGCTAATATAGCCTATTTATTTTTCTAATAAGTTGTCAAACAATGACCAGTACTATATCGTTCCTGCTTTATCAACTTTAATTATTCTAATTTATTTTATTATAAATTAAAAGTTTTTATAGACTGAAAAAATTTACCTATTAAAATCGGAGTCAATTTAAATTTATACAGCTACATCATAAGATGATTAAGCCATTTCAAAGTAGTCCATGAAGTAAATAAATTTAGAAGTCTTGAGATCTAAAGTAGAAACAGATTATTCTTAACACACCACAACTTAATTCTCAACTACAAAAGCTTGCATCCATTTAAATGTTGTTACCTTCAGCGCTTAATTTTTAAATAAAAGAGGACTTTTCTCATCTAATGAGTATACAAATATGTATTTTTTAGAAACAGCTGATATTTGGTTTTTTTGATTGATAGATCCAAAAGTAAAATCAATTGCAGAATCTACTGAAGTTTAGTTTGCATCTCTTTGATCACAATAAATTTTTTAGAAATCTGCTTAATATACTAAGATATTTTATTTGATTGACCATACCTAAAATAAATTCGACTCTCCTATTATTATGACAAAGTCTTCTTCTTAGCTTACCAATACCTATATTGAAACTGAAGGAAAAGTATTCTAAAACTGTAGAACTGAATTTTTATATGAAGACACATAGAAAGACCCATTTTATGAAGCATAAGATATAGAAATTTAATTTTTGGTTGTGTAAATTGATTAAAAATTAAGAAATTTTTCTATTTAAAATAGCTTTTAAAAAAGTTAGCTATTAACATCAAATGCGTATAGACCACCTTATGAATCAATAAGCAAAAATCTTCTGTTTGCCTTATCGCTCACACACTGAATTATTTATGTTTAATTGAGCTAAATTGTAGTTATTTTTGAATCAGAAATGGTTGAAGAAGAATAATCAATGATAAACAGCTATTTTTAATAGTAAAGAAAGAATAAATTAAAATAAAAAGTAAAAAAAAAATACATTTGATGTGTCCCAGGTCACAACTATTAATTCTTCAGAATTCAAACATGATTAAGGATTGACTTAAATTTAGGAAGGAATTTAAAGAGTATTCAGTTTTGATCCATTTCCTGAGTTCCATCCAATAATTCTTCCCTAAGCATCTAGGGTATGAATCACAGAGACTTATAGGTTTTATCTATCATCTTTATCAATTTGATAGAATTGAACATCTTCTGAGTATTCGATGGTTGTGTACCTAATATTTTTACGGAAATTAAAAATGCCAACAGTGAAAGGATAGTAGACAACTGCAGCAATATCTTGAAAATCTTGCTGAGGATCTGATTTCAAAAGTATCATAGTTTTTACTTATGTCCAGTAGCTTTAGGATCCTGCTATCCAAAAAGGACATCCTATTGCCTTAACTAAAGTTAATTAAGAGAAAAGAAGGCAAAACTTTAATCTTAATAAGAATTTTATCTTAACCGAAATCATTGTTATTCAATTTTTTTAATTTTTATTATTTATAGCAAACATTAAAAGTTAAACCCAAGAGAGTTAATTTAAATATCAGTTATTTGAAAAATACAATATGCAATATTTAAAACAAATAATAAAAAATCCCCTAAAAAAAGAAAAGGCAATTAAGGAAAAATCAAATGAAGATAACAATTGAAATTTATTTAAATTTTTTGATTATGTTAATTAAATGTGATTTGATTGAGCAATAAAAACTCACGACCAACTATTATTAATTCAGCAAAATTAAAATCAACAAAATATAAATTATAATCATTACGATAAACTAAATTTTATTCATTAAATAATTAATTAAAGTAAAAAACTTTTAAGCTAATATCTATTTAAAAAATGTAATATATTTAACTAATCCCTTTTAAATGTTAAAGATTAATAAAATTGAATACTAAAAATCATAAATACTATGGATGTTAATAAAATATTTTCTTATACTATTTATTTCACCGAATATAATAAATGAGTAAAAAGGATATAAGCTAAAGAATTATATTTTTATCCTGAAAAGCATATACAAAGTTGAAGAAAATGAAAATATGTAATTACACTAAAAGGAATTTACAATTAGCTTGAATATTTTGCACTAAAATATTGAAATTCAATGAATGATATTATTTAAATGGTATTTTAAAATATATTATACTAAAATTTTAATTTTGTATGCTTTTTTAGTATCGCAAAAGCTAGTTAAAAATGAATTAAACATAAAATTGAAAAGAAAGAAGTATAATTAGAAAAATTTACAATTAATTATAAAAGCTTAACCACAAATTAAGGTAAACTAAATAAAATTATTAATTTAAATAACCTTAATTTCTAAGTTACCGCATTAAAATAAGAATAATTTTAAATATTTTAAATAATTTTAAAGCTAATCAAAATTGAATGGAAATTAATTTAAATTAATAAAAAATTACGTTTGTAGCATAATACAATATTTATTATTAATAATTGCATGTTTTCAAATAGCTTTTATTCAAAACTAATATTTATTTATTAATCAAAATGAGTTTTGATGTGGGGGAAGAAAAAAATTTACTTTTAAGTATATAAATCACAATTTTAGATTTACTTTTTTCCTCAAAAAATTTAAAAATCAAGAAAGTGAAGAAAGCTTAAATTTTGTTGTAATAAATAAAAGTATGACTGACACACAATTTAAAATATTTCACTTAAAAAAAAAATATCAATAAAAATTATACTTATAATTGTATTTTTGATAAAATCTTCACTTTTGTTCAAAGGAATATTATGAAATAAAGTAGAATAATACTGGTGCGATTTTTAAAATAGAAAATTTTTTAATCTTAAATAATAATAGATGTTTACATTTTAAATTGTTTGTTTAGCTAAAGAAAAGAAAAAATCTTTAGTTAATAATTAATTGATTATAACAAAAGAATTAGGAATAAATCTGTCATTTCTTAGATATTTAGTATTCAAGCATTAATGAGTAACAAAAAGATAATAAGATGTTTTTATAAACTATTTTATTAAAATAGTAGTTTTTTTTACTTATTATTGGATAAACATGAAAAAAAAGTAACCAAAATTAGTCTTTTTAAAAATTTTGAGTTTAAGGTTGAATAAGTTATTCTTACATTTACCTTTTAAATTTGAAAGGATTATTATTTTTTAAACTATATTGTGTGAATTATGTTGCTATTTGATATCAATACCAGTAAAACTAATTTGAAAATAACTTTTTTAATGTTAAAACTTATCTCTGCTTGCATAAAAAATAAAAAATACTCATCCTTTATTTCCGTAAAAAATTTTATTGAATTAAACTAACTTTACACAACTACTTCATATTTTGAATATTTAATAAATAAGATTATAAATTTAAATTTTATTTTTATTTAAAAGATTATTGATTTCTTCACTAACCTTATTTTTCAATAAAAAGCACATTTATGAACCAAATAATAGAAATTTAGTAGCAGTGATTTATATTTTATTTTGAATACAAATACTTTAATAATTTTAAGTATTCTTAATATCATTTAAAATAAAAAAGCAATTAATGATTATTATAAAAGAATATTTTAAAAAATACCACTATTTCACTTTTAGCTAAATTTTATCATAGCTGAAATAGAAATAATGTAAATTAAAAAATATATTTAAATGGTTTTATGTAAATTTGATTACATGAAATTAACATAAAAAACTATATTAGAACAATTATACTGTTTAAATATTTTATTATTTGAAATGTAATAAATAGTAAGTAGAATTTCGTAAGTAGAATTAGTATTTTAGTATTAGAAATTTTGATTAAAATAACTAATTAGTTAATAAGTATTTATTCAATTAGATTATTTGCAATTTTTCTTATATATATCTGGTATATCTAAATAGATGTGACTTTTAATCACACTATTTTCTATCAATCCTTAGGCTAAAATTCAAGTATTTTTTGGTTTATTTTTTTATGTTTGCAAGGTAATCAGAGGTGCTATGGAACTTCAAAGTGACATATTTTACTCATATTCTTTCATTTACAATCATTTAAAATATCAGTAATGGACTCAATATTCTATTTCGAGGGAGTAGACCTTTTGTATTAGCTTAATTGTAATATTTATCTGACCTTGCTCTTATCATCAAAATTAGATTTTTTTTCTTAGGAATTGTCACAAGAAATGTTTCTCTGTTAGTCGCGCTACATTAATATTTTTCGTCTTTGCATTAAAGGTGAATCATTTATAGAGTTATTAAATAAAGATGATATTATTATATCAGAACCTGAATTTTTAAAATTGCTTTATTAAATTTTATTAATGTGCTATTCTATTTTAAACTCAGATTTGTTTTATACTTCTAAACCATTATGCATTTTTTAAGGTGATGTTGAGCAGCTTTGAGTTAAAAGCTTATCGGAGCTTTGGCTATTTATATAGAGTGTTTCTTTACAAGATAATTAGCTTTACGTGATTGACGAGCAATTTTTGTAAAAATTCAATTTTTTACACATTATCAAAACTTATGAGCGCTTTGAATCGAAGTATTCCTGACGATTTTAAGAAGGATTTACCATTATAATACCTTAATCATCTAGCCATTTATGAATTCTTTTTTCTAAATCATTCTAATTGTCTATAACAAACTTCTCGCATTCTATATTATTGTCTTATTTGTTTTTTGAATTTTCTTAGTTCTTGAAGTCTATCATTATTGAACATTTGGATGAAAAAGCATCATCTGTTAAAGATTAATCTTATGATGAGTTTTATCTAGCATTATCATATTCTTTAATTGGTGCTTTAAGATCAAATTACTTATCACTTTATCCTGCTATACTTTTAAAACTGATTAAATCACTAACTACTTAACTATATTCCTTCCCTTCTAATGCTGAATTTTTATTTTTAGTCATCTTTTAATGAATATTAATGCTAATTTTCCTTTAAGGGGTTTAAGTTGATTCTATAAAATTCTATGAATGAGATATATCTATCTTTGAAGATTCTGCTATTTTCTATAAGCTTAAAGCAGTTTATCTTAATAGATTCCTTGCTTATTTGACTTTTTTTTCTATGTCATCATCTATCGAGAAGCAATTTGATTTTAAAATAGATATTTCCTCATTACAGTCTCTGTTACTCTATTAATTTTTTAGACTCATATTATTATATATAATTAACCTGTTTAATCAAATCTTATTTATTATCAATTATGATTTGATGACTGATAATTTATTGATTGATCTTTTGTCCACTGAATTAATTTAATTTATTTTAATTATATAATTATCAATTACATTCTATTTGATTTAATAGCTATCTCTTAGGTAGAAATAAGATTAAACTAGAAGTTAAGACAATGTTTATCATTTTTTTTTTTCAGTAAAATTGAGTAGAGTAAAATTTTGTTTGACATAATCAGTAAATAATTTAGTCATTACAAACAAGAAAAAATATTAATTTAAGGATTTATTTAGGGCTTATATTTAATATATTATTACATATGTATACTCAAATAAGTTAGTTTGAATAATGGGTGTTTACTGATTTTATTTTTTAGGAAAAATAAGCATTTATGATTTTTAATATATATATATAACAATATTTAAATTTTTTAATATAAAAAAGAATTCATAAACAAAAAATATTTGTTAAATAATATCAAAAATTCTATGTTAAAATAATTTTATTTTGTATTCATTAATTTATTCTTTAGTTTTCATTTTTTTTAATTTTATAGATTCATTAGATGTTATATAGATTTATTTAAGAAAAGTTAGTCCTATGCTAACCTACACAAAAGTATTAATTTTAATTAACAGTTTATTTATATTTAGAGATTAAAATTTCTTTATCATTAAAAAGTAGTTTACTATTTTTTGTTTTGCTATTTGTTTTTTTTTTTGCACTTCTTTTTTCATAATATTTTTGATAAGATATTATTTACCCATAATCCTACTATTGGTTGCTTTTTGCTATCATTTGAATAAAAAACACCTTCTCCATTAACTTTATCATTTATAAACTTGCCGCTATACTTTTCTTCGTTTGTAAAAACTAGGGTACCTGAACCATTTTTTAATCCTAATTAGAATTCTCCTTCATAAACTTTCCAATAATTAGATATTTTATTAAAATCACTATAGCTGAAAGAATTCTATAAATTTTCAGGAAATTAATTATATAAAATACCTTATCCATCAAAAAGATCATTTACCCATTCTCCTTCATATATGACCATTTGATTTTATTTATTCCTTAAAATTCCATAGCCTTACTTTTTTCCATTAGCGTCTAGAACTCCTTCAAAAATAAAATTTTGATTTGAATTCTCATAAGCTATTTATTTCTGCTGCCTATTATTTATATAGGTAGATTCCTCTTTTTATTTATTGCTAGAACCAAAAGATTACAAATTTTGTTTGAAAGGTGATAAGTTTTCCTAGCTTGTTAATTAATTTGATTTCCCTGAATTTCCTGCTTGTATGTCAAAGCTGATAGAATTATTTTCTTTACTAAAACTATTCAATTAATGATCTTCATTTTATAATGGGGATCTAGTTTTATAGAATTAATGTTATTTTTTATTTTAAAAATATTAATAGCAAATAAAAACATTTACTTTTAATCAGATCCTATTGGAGTAATTCTGATTTAATAGTCCATTTGCTGATAAGGATCTGAAAGATTATTTTACTGAAATTATAAATTTGTGTTCGGAGATAGAGGTTCTTTATTTTAATTCGAGGAATACCCAAATGTGTTATTATCCTTAGATTATGCGCTATTTTAGTCATAGTTCAATTGAGTATGCTAGAATTAATAATTTGTATTGTAATTTACTTAGTTATCCTAATAATCTTATTACTCATCTTAATCATATGTTTAAGCCGGTGGAGAACCAGCTAAATTTTTGCTCTAAAAATGTCTTTAGATTACCTACCTTGAGCGATAAAGTGCTTCATTCACTAATTCATCTACTTTTTGTCTGCTTTATCTTATTTCTTCATGTTTTTTACTTTTTTCTATTTTTTTAGGACTTTCCTAAGCTTAGTTTAGGATATTTGTATACTTTTATAGTTGCTACTTTTTAGATTTAGATTTTAGTTTTTCAATTAAGTTTTATGTCCTTTCAACACATTTTTAGACTATTTAATTAATATTTTTCTTTCTTCTCTCAGTTGTGCATGAAGAAGAATCTATTAAATTTGTTGTATTTTCTTATTTAGGAAGTAATTTTACCTAATTTACTGAATTTTACATGTTGTTTGTCAAATTGCTTTATTTTTCATCAATTGTTAAATACAAATTTGGATTAGCTATATTTTGTGAAGATATTGTGATATTAGTATTATTTGAAAAAGAAGGATTCTGCCCGAGCTGTTTTAAAATCTGCTCAGCCTTTTATAAGTAATAACTCTTATTATCATTTTAAGATAAGTTATAATTATTATTTTATGATATATTTTCAGTACTTTTGCTTTTGAATAAAGACTGTTCTTTATTTGTTAAAGGCTTAGGCAAAGAAGGCCTATTTAAATCTTATTTAATTTTATTACTATTATTAGTATCTTTTATGGATTTTTAATTAAAATTCTTAATTTAATCTATAACAATACTTTCAGTATATTCTTCATTTGTTTCTTAGATACTATTAGACTATGCTTGCTTTTAGCCTTGCAACTAGCTTTGAGGTTATGAGTTATAATTATTTATTGAATGTGTTTCAATAATGTTTATAGCATTACTTTCGCTTCTAGCATTCTTAGTTGAGCTTGGATTTGAAAATAAATTATGTAAATTTGTTTAGTTAAAAAAAACCTATGGATCATCAGTGCTATTCATTCTTTTCCTTATCAAATCGCTTTATCTAATGAAAGAGCTGCAAAAAGGACTTTATTCATTACCAGTTATGTTGCTATTGATACTGCTTAATAAGTTTAGTCCTTAAGGTAGTTGAAGATTATTATTTTAAGGAGCAATTAAACTATCTTAATTACCGTTACTATTATAATTAACTATTGAATTATAATTTGGAATATCATTAGAAATATATTTAACCTATTAATCAGGTTGATTGGTTCCCTCATTATCAAAGTTCAATTTTCCAAAGCTTTCAAATTTTTCTAGATTTGTGGTATTATAAAAGTTCTTCTATTAAACACCTTATATATTGTTTTCTTGTTTTTAATTTTCTTAATTTTGAGCTTCACTTTAGTAATTACCATAATCTTCAATCTCCAAAATCGTAACTGTGTTATTATCCTTTAATCTTTAGCATTAAACAGATGTTTTTCTAGGAGGTTATAATATTTTTTCATTTTCATTATACTATTTTTAGTATTCTTAACTTTATTTTTGAAAAGACTGAACTCCCTTTTAACTTTCATCTTATTTTTATAATTATTCATAAGTTTTAAAAAAATTAGGTTTTTATGGATTCTTATTTAAGGTAAAGGGACTACCACCTCCATCTATATAATTAGTATACTTTAAGTCTATTTTTAATTCACTTTCTTAGGAGCTTTCCTTTATATTCTCACTGATATTACTTGTTTAAAAATTAAGGTAATCATTTGGATCAATAGTTACCTTACTAAGATAAATTTAAAATTATTTGAATTCATTTAAATTATTTTCCTTTTTAGGTAAATACTCACTATAGCTGCGTTTGAGTTTATCCTATTAAGTATTGATTTCTTCCTATCTGATTGGTTATATTTAATTTTTCATTTGATCCTATAAGTTTTATAAATATTAACCTGCTTAGAAGTCTATATTTTGTTGTTAAGGCATTTAATTATTAGTTAAGCTCATTTTAGATATGGGTGAAATATTTTATTCAGGTTGGTATATAGGAGTGCTAATACTTTCTGATTGAATCAAACCTTTAACTGAATTTACTTTTTCTATACTTATTGGTAATATTTATATATTACTTGAAGTAATCACATATGGATTGCTAATATAGTTTGATGATCTGATTTGCGAATTTGCTTAGGAATATTTAGTTAATAAATTTTCTTAATTGACATTTTAATTGTAATTTTATTCCCAATGATACTAATTAACATGATTACTTGGTTCCTGATTAGTGTATTTGATTTCAAAATATTTATTATCATTCAAAGCTTATTAATTTCCTATTCTAAATTGTCCATTAGATATTAATGCATCATTATTTTATTCTATCATATTTTTATTAGGTTTTCCTAATTTAGGAGGAAGCGGGGCTTTATGAATTTAAGTTGTAGAGAAGCCTTTTTATAAACTTTTTCCAAACTAATCATGTGCCTGTAAAGGTATGCTCACAAATTGCTGCTACTGCTATAAAGCAGGAATTTGTTATTGATAAATCTATGTTTACATTTTTCTAATTAATTAATTAAAAATGTTTAATTGATTGTTAAAAATATTTAGAATGAATGAATTATCAAATAAATATTGATTAATATAGCTGTTATCAATTCATAAAAAGAATAAATAAGTTAAACTTATTATCCTTATTGCTTATCTTTTTTTATTTATTACTAATTAATAAATTTCATTATAAAATACTGTTATATCCACGAATCTAAACTAATTTAAATGCCCTTCAAAAAGGTTATTATTAAAGTACATTAATTAATTTCAATTTTAAGTATTTCATTTGATTTATTTTTTAAAAGTTATTTGTTTCCCCTAAATGCTGGCTTCCAAATTTCACTGAAACATATTTTTAAAAAGTTCATTTAAGATTATACAATGAAATACATTGCTAAAAATTTTTTATAGATTTTATTTAATTTATTCATTTGAATTTTAATTTTTAATTAATTAATGACTAAATAATTTTACAGAAATCATTTATTAGAATGACTATTTAGCTTTAAAAAAATATTTTGATTAATCAAAAGCTGCCAAAAAAAAATATATATTATCAAAATAATATTTTTGAAAAATTAATAAATAAAATATATATATATATATATGTATAGTACCCTAGGGTACTGTCTTTTTCAATGCTATACAGTGAAATTTTAGATATATTTATAATTTGAGAACAAGATATCCTAAATTAATAAAAATACATAAACATTCTTTATAAAATATTTAATTGTTAATAAATAAAGAAAAATCTAAAAATAATTAAAAAAATATAATATCAATTTACCCTAAACTTACTTTTTACTAAAATTTAAGAAAAAAAATATTTCATTAATTAAGAGTTATAAAACTTTAATTGCATTTAAACTATAAAACTTATAAAATAGATAAACATAACAAACAGATATTAAATAAATCAATTAAAATTCTTTTATTTTTTACTTTATTTTAAATCATCTATATAAGAAGTTGTTCCTAAGATAGCAGCATTAGTAGGGCTACTCAATTCATTTTTCTTTTTAAATAAAGCTGAAGTATTATATGTTACTGAGTTTGCACTTCTTTTAGGTGTTTCATCTTTTTCATGAACCAACCTAGCAAGCTAAGTAACATCTTTTACATTGCTGTACACTCCATTTTCGTTAAAAATCATAGACATTTTTGGAGTCTCAGAATTAACCTAAACGTTGTCCTTTAAAGTTCCACTGATTATCTAATCTTAATATTCTTGTCTAATTTTATACTTATTATTTAGTATTTCTTGATTCATATACTTTGCCTTCCATTCTTCACACTACCTTGTTTTTAAATCTACTAAGTCAGTTAACCTTTATATTTCTTCTTTTAAAATTTTATCTTAGCCTTAATTTAGTTCTAACCTAGCTATTGTAGTTTTAAGTGCTTCATTCTCTTCTTATCTTTTTATTTTAGCTTTACTTAATATTTTACTTTAAAAATTAAAATTATTACTTAATCTTAAGAGAGTTATATAAACGCTCAGCATCATAAGCTGTATATCCAGTAGCTATGAACTAGGTTTTTGGCTTATCGAATGCCTAAAGTTCAAGCACATTGTATCTTCTTTACCATTCTTCAATTTATAACTTCAAAGACTAATTTTCTTATTCAATACGCTCTTTAGCTCTTTTTAGGTGATCGATTTCTAATAGCCTTGTATATAAATCAGCAATTTCTGATTCTTTTGAATGGACTGCTTTATTTTGTAGCTCAATGCTTTCTTGAAGAGACTTTATTTTAGCTTCTAACTCTTCAATTTTAGCTCTATCTTAAACAACATGTACTCTTTCCTTAACTACAATATGCTTTTTATCATTATTATTTTACTGCTAAGATTAGCTTTATAAGCTAACTTAAGTGTAATTTTAAATTGCAGGTCCTGCTACTTCTGATATTCTGTTTGAGGTCATCTATTATTCTTGAGGACGTAGGTTATAATTGCTATACGATTAGCTTTATTAAATAACTTAAGGTCCTTAGCTATCATCTTAAACAGCATTTCTGTTACTACCTTGCAAATTACTTTATCTTACACTAACTATAATAGGTTATTTTTATAGGTTTCCATTTAAGCTACTACGTACATCGTCTTATTTTTCTTAGGATATCTAATTTTGCTGCTATTAAGACTGATAAAACTATTAATAACTTTGCAAATTTTATAGAGACTACCTTCTAGTTAAATTTCTTTGCTGTTATTATTACTTTGCCTGCTAAGGATTTTAATTTGCTAACTAAAATATACCAGGTGTTTGATATTTTTCTTACTCTTACTAAACTAAACTTTATTACTAATTTTAGATCTACTAAAATACTGAATTAGCAAGGGCTATAGGTTATGATGCATAAGCAACAGAATTTTAGCTTTACAGCTACTGTACTGGTTATCCATAAGTAACAACTTGAGTTGGTAATTAATTTTGTTAGATAGGCTGAACTTAATATTATGATTAAGCAGCTTATCTTACAACAGGAGTTCCAGTTAATTCTTGGTCTGCAATAACTCTTACTGGTCCATTTTATATAGATTATAAGATAGAGCTAAAATTTGGAGACCTATTAGGATTTATCTATTGCTTAAACTAATTCTAAGTAGGTTGTTGTCTACCTTAGAATTCTACAATTTTAGGTGACTACAATGATTACTAAAAGAATTATTATTGGCCATAAGAATTTGGAGTATTAATAGATTTTCTGATAACTGGAGATTGAATATAAACTGTATTAGGATCTTTAGAGATTTGATTAACATATTAAACCGTGGGTGGTTACTAAATAGATACTTGCTATTATTGCTGCTATTTTAAAACTTGGTTTGGAACAATAATCATTTATTCACTCATAGATCTAGAATGCAAAGCTTTTTAGCTTTATCTATAACAATTTAAAATAAAAAATAATAAATAAAAATTCAATGAATAAATTAGAGGGGAAGACATTTAAAATAAGTTATTACTGTTAGTTAAATGGCTATGCTATAAAATTGTTCACTTTTGATAAAAACTATTGAATAGTAATTTATTTTTTTATTTATTTATTAATTTATTTTAGTTTATGATTGATTTTATTTAATTCAAAATAGTGTTGATTGAAGTGAATAATCGTTTTAATTTAAATAAAATTTGATATTTCTTATTTATGTTAGAAGAAAATTCTTTCTATTTATATAGAGATTTTTGGATTTTATTTTGTTTTTATTTTAGTGGTTTATATATTTTTTTTATATTATAATTTACTGACTTCATAACTAACGACAAAGAAATGTTTCTTAGGAAATATGGTAAATATATTAAAATAAATTTATTTTTTAAATTAGATTTTAATCATTCAATATTTAGTATTAATTAATTTTTTTTAAAATAAAAATGTTATTTCATGACTTGGTTAGCAGAAATAATCATTTATCCACTCATAAATCTACTAGTATAAGTTTTATATATAGGAATTTTAAACAATAAATAATAAATAAAAATTTTATTAGTAAACTAAAGAAATTTAAAATATTTAATTTATTTAATGGCTGTGATTTAAAATTTTGTATGATTTTGTCAAAAGCTTATTCCATAATAAATTATTTTTTTATTTATTAATTTGTTTTAGTTTAAAATTTTATTTATTTAAAAATATCGTTTAATTCAATGGTTGTTTTAAATTAAATAAATTTTGATATTTCTTTTTTAAGCTTATTGATATTTATTTTGATGTTTTTATTTTATGGTCTATCAATAATTCTTTTATTTATTTTTTACTGAGTTATTAAATAAAATAAAATATTTCTTTAAAAGTATGTTAGTTATTATAATAAATGAGGCAATATATCCCTAAGTTTATTTTCACAATATTGTTCAAAAAAATATTTTAGATTTATTTTTTCAAAACTATTCATTAAATTGATGTTTAATAGTAAATAAATGTGTTGTTAATCTATTATTTATTTCAATTTTTAAATTAAAATATTTAATCTTTATTTAAAAAAATAGAGAAAAAAATATTCTATTTAAATTTATTAAAAATAATATCTATTTTTAAAAAGATAGATGCAATTTTAAAATATCTTTTATTAAAAAGTTAATCAATCAATTTTATCTGTTGAATCTATTAATATTTAATACAGAAAGTTCTTTATATTTATATCTATTTAACAATAATAAACAAATTTTCATTAATTATTTAAAATGTCTGCTGCAATCCCAAAAATAAGTCCTCTTTTAGGAGGAGTGATTAAAATATTATAAATGTATTTCTCTAAAACTTATTTTTGTAAATAAAATATAGGTATTGTTAGGTGGATGTGGAATATCATTACACTCTTATATGTAGCACGAATGCACTTAAAAAGAAAGAAATTATTTAGTGGATAAAATGTATTCTTAACCAAAAGATTCTATTGACAGAGGTAAATAAATTTGTAAAATTTATTTAAAACTAAATATCATTTTTTTATTTAATAAAAATAGAATTAATTCTAAAATAGTAAATTTATTTACGATTTGTTCGCAATCATTATTCCAAATGATTATAAATTAGGATAAATTATTTAGAAAATTTTGACAATAACATCATTTCAAAATATAACGTTCCTATTTTTATTTCTTCGGTAAACATTTTTTGGATTTAAATACTAAATTATTTATAGTTTAATTTAAATTAAGTTATTTGGTGGTCTTTTCTTTTCAAAAACATTCCTTGGTTTGGTATTAAGTGACCTTAGTTTGAGAATTCTACTTAGCTATAAAAAAAATTAGACAAATTACAGCTAATATGAGCTTGAAAATTCAATTGAGTATAAGGGATTAACTTACTTAGAGCTATCAATATTTGCAATAAGTGCTACTTTACCTCTTAAGTTCTTACTAAGAAGAAAGTTGTGAAAAATATTTTAATATACACGAATAAAAAATGTTTGATTTTAATATCAACATCATAGAGAAGGAAATAAAGCTAATTTTTAACAATTTTTAAGTAAACGGAAATCAATTAATTAATATTAAATAAAATGTTTATGATGAGTTTGTGTAATGATAACATGTATATTTATATAAAAAGTTATTTATCATATTATTTTAATAATAGTTAAGTAGAATAAGTTTGTTTAATTTAGCATATTTATTTAAGAAATTTAGGCTAAAATTTTAAGCTAAATTTCATCATTTTTTATAAAGGTATAACCTTTCTTAATTCATTAAATCTTCCATCAATTTAGTATGTTTTTACTTTTTGACTTTTGGAACATAATCTTCATTATATCTATCATAGACCTAAAGTTTATTTTAGCTTAAAGAATGATTAGTTTAGCTATTGATATTATCCTTATCTAGATAATTTCTACTGGTAATTTTATTTTTTAAAGGAGATTAAGGTTTGTAAATATCGCTTGTTGTTTGAAATTTTAAATTTGTAGTTGAATTTGGATTGTTGATTGTAATCTAGTTTATGACTGGGAGTAATGTACCTTATTATCCATCTGTTTTAAAATTATTTTTGCGTTTTAAATAATATTTTATCAAGAAAATATTTACCTCTAGACTACTTAAATGCAGAGTTAAATTACCCTTTATTGGCTTTTTCTCTGGAAGTTAGCATGCTTGTACTCTATGATACTGAATTTGATGTAGAATGATAATAATCTGAAGTAAAATTCTTAGATAGTGGTGTTAATAAAGTTGATTTTGTCTTATCAAATTATGGCTTAAATTATTTCAAGATTAACCTAGAATCCATAGAGGCCTAACTTTAACTTTTTAATTAAGAATGACTACTTTTTTTCCAATCAACACTGGCTTATTTATTTTAATCACCTTATTATTGCTAAGAATTATTAGAGCGCTTAGATAAGTAAAATTAATCTCTAGTAATAGGTTTGTTATTTTTAGGAACATAGTCTTCCATTTGTAATCCAGTAAATTTATCTTTGAAATCTTTGGTATTCTCAACTTTTTTAAAAAAAATATTTATAAATTACTCAATACATTTTATGTTTAAAATATTACGCTTTCTCAATTTCCAAATCACTTTATCACTTTCTACAAATGATTTCAAATAGTGATAAGAAGTAGTTTCTTTATGCTAATAAAAATCCCTTTAATCATGAAGTTTTGTAGTTGTTTGATTTTTCATGGATGTCAACTAGTTTTCATCTCTGCCTTCTGCCTCATTTTTTACTTATTTACTTTCGAAATCTAAATATTCCTATTATGGTTTAATATTAATTTTGAATTTAAATGATTAGAAAAAAATATACTTCTTCATTCATGTTTTAGTATTTTAATTGTTTCTTAGTATTTTAATCTAGCAAATTTATTTCATCATCATCTATGCTATTTTACTAATTTACATTCCCATTTTGATTATCTGAGTTATTTTTCTTTTTCTAAGGTGATTCTTATATAGATCCATATTTGGGCTTTTTACTATTATCAGAATTAGCTAATTTGAAAATTATTTTTTTTAGATCATCAGTGTTTGCCTTCTCTTTAGCTGATTCTTCCAAATCCTTTAGATTAACCATTTTATTCTCTGTTATAGGTTCTGAGAGAGGATAAATTTCATTTTTATATTGTTCTAATTTATCAATAACAAATTCTTGGTATTTCTTTTACAATTTATTATCTTATTTTATATGCTTGTTTTTAAATGCCCTTTTTAGATTTGCACTTGCATTCGATATTACTATGATAAAAATAAGTTTTATTAATATTATATTAGAAATTTATTTACAGCTATCTATTTATTCATGCAAAGTTGTATAAAACTTAAGATATTATTCGAAAATCTCTTTAATATTTTTCCAATGATGCTTTTAAGATTGTTCTTTTAGAATGTAAATTTTTTTAATTGCTTGTATAGAAGCTTCCTCCTCGTCTTCATATTCATCAGATATATTAGATAAATACTCAAAAATAGAGTCTAAACTCTCAAAAAAGCTCAAATACATATCCTAAATATTTATATAACTAATTTATTATCAAATAGCAAACATTTTATTATACATTTTTTATAGCTTCTATAAAAATTTTGCAATTTTAATTTTAGGAGGGAAAAAATTATAAATAAGTGCTCTCAATTTCTATGTAGTCTAAAGGAGCGTAAGAAAAATTATCTAAGAACTTTTCCACTCTATTTTTCTTTCTATCTTATTAACTAACACTTGTTGGTAGATATCCAGGGCCAGAGGCTAAATATTCAAAATAAACATTCAAAACTTATAAATTAAATTAAAATTTATTTTTACCTGTTGGAGTTGTTGGTGATAATTACTCCTCAGTATGATTCTCTTTAACTAAAATGGATTATTTATTTTTTTCTCTTTCAAATCTTTTAACAAGAGGCTCCATAAACTTGAAATATTAAAAAATATGCCAATTCAAAAAATAAATGAAAAATATGCAAATTAGTAAATAAATAATTTACACTAAATTTTTTAGCATCTTCTTTTCTGATTACCTATTTGAAATAAATAAATTAAGAGATATACTTTTTAAAAATGTTTAAATACTTTTGGTTCAGGGTTTGTTTCAATAAAACTAATTCTATTCAAATTTGTATTTCTTTTAATAGCAACACCCTTTCTAAAATTAGATACAAATTTTTATAAGATGTCTCCAAAGTGCTCTAGTTATTTATCTGACATAACTGATTTTGCTTTACGTGATACATCTTGAACCATTTATGTGAGTCTTTTATTTATTTATTTGTGAATAATGTTAAATAAAAATGAAATTAATTTTTATACCTAAATAGAGTTTCAACGAAATTTAAGAAAACCTAAAATCCAAATTTTTCAAATTAATCAATCTTATTTTTGATTTAAGTTTTATTTAGCTTTGACACCTCAGAAATATAAATCTGCATTTAATTAATTGTACTATTTTTCTATAATGTTTGTTTTTGCTATTCTTCAAGTTATTTTAACACTTAATTAATATTTTACTCTTCTTTAATCAAATCTACTTAATTAAATTGTTTTAATGATTTTTGCTGTATAATTTATTTTTCTTGAACTACTTTAATATTTTCTTTACTCATACGAGGCTTATAGGGACGACTTTATATTTGCTAAGTTGTAGGGCTTTCATTTGAGTCATTTGTATTCTATTCCTTATCTTGATTAATTTCTTAAATTTTAACATCTTTTATAGCCTCTTCATTAAGTTATAAATTTCTTGCTTACTAGTACTTATTTTTATCTCTTTAGTCACTATTATTATCACGTTTTTAATCTTCCTATTAATTAATTTCTTGGTTTTATTAACCTAAATTATTATTATTATTTGCATATTACTCTTCATTTTCTTATACTTAGCTCATTTTTTTTTAATAAGCTTATTCTTCTTCGAGATTTTAAATATGCTTATTTGCTAAAATCTCTTCATTTTAATTTTCCTTATCTCCTTCACTTTTTTCTTCGTTTTCATAATCATTTTATTGATTTTAAACTTTAGTTTCATCATTATTATCTTCTACTTCTTCTTGGTCATTTTCTATGACATTTTATGAAAGATTTTGATTATCATTTAATTTATTTTCACTATTTTGATGGTTTTATTATTTTTAGAATTTTTAAGAATTTTCGTCTTAAGTTTGGTTATATTTTTCATCGTTTTATGTATGATGTATATTATCCTTTTCTAAATTTGCCTAATTTTAGTTTTAAGAGTCTTCTGTATGCCTTTAAACATGAGTATGAGTTTCCTATTTTTAATGACTTTCTATTTAAGAACTAAAATTTCTATCTTAATTGGTAATTGAATATTAAGAACTTTGGATATTCCCTAAAGAATTTTATCCTTCATCTTCACAATAACTGTCTTACTCTTCTTCGTCTTCTCCAATATTGCTGCCTGAATGTATTTCTTTTATTGTGTTGTTATGTTTCTTAGAATGTGTTTATATACTAGGAAGCAAATTGCTTCTCATCCACTCTTAGTAATTTTCATAATCCTCTGGTGGAGCAACATCTTCTGTTTTATCTTTACAATTTTTTTGGGTAATGATTAAATTTTCTTAAGTTTAACAAATTTATATTTCATCATCAATATGCTTCAATTAAAGTTATCTTTCTTACTAAAGATTGATTAATTCTTAATAACGCTTATGGAGACTCTAAGATAAAACCTTTAGACTTTCTAATTTAAATTTGAGTTTTTCAATAATGTCAAAAGGGCCTTGCTGGTGTTTTTCATAAAATTAATTGAGTCTTTCTACAAGTAAATTTCTATTTTAATCCTTTTAAAAATATAATAATGCAAAAGTCGAAATAATAAAGTAAAATTTACTAATTCATTGTTGTTAGATTTTAAAGTGGTTTTTCTTGAACTTTCATTAAAACTTTATCCATGAGTTTTTTCAAACTCATTTTAATTATTATGTGAGGTCTCTTTTTAATTTGAAGTTCCTTCTTCATTTTTTTCATTATTTTTATTTGGTGATTGCTGATTCTCTTCATCTTGATTTTATTTTTAAGGAGAAATGCTCATAAAGGTAGGATGAGTTTCAAATTTAATATAATTTTGGATTTCTTCATCCTCATTATTTCCTAGTAGAAAAATTCTTTAAAAAATTATACAATTTATTTTGTTTTTCATAATAAAAATATAAAGAATAAATTACTTTTCTAATTTTTCAATACAATCTATGTAATTAATAATGTATTTAGATTCATTTAACTACTATATTAAATCTGATTCCTTTTATTCAAGTTTTTAAATATCTTTTAACTGTTATTCTTTTATTACTTTTTTTTTCTAATAATTAAAAATTTATAAATTGTTATTAATTATTTTATTCCTTTTAAAAGTTTACATCAATTTCTACTAAACAAACTGTAATTTCATGTTTCAAGTGCTTTATTTCGTTATAAATATCACTTTTCTCTGATTACTTTTCTTATAGAGCCATTTAACTCCTATAATATGTGTCTTACAAATCTTTATTGTATGTTGAGGTAATTACTTCAGCTTCTTCCTGTTTTTATAAAACAAACAAAGAATCAAGACTTAGATAGAGGTGGTATGATTAAGTTATTAATTTACATTCTTTTTTTAAGCATTTATCTCTCTAAGTTCTAAATTTCTGAATTTTTTATCAAATAGCTAATTCATATCAATAATCTGATTTCTCTCTTTTTAAATTTTATCCTTTTTTAAATAATAAAAACAAATAAAGATGTTAAATTGCATTAGCTTGATTATGATATTAATTTTAATTAAATTAATAGATCATATTTACGATGCACACTTTGATTTCTTCAACTTTTTACTCTAGTTGACCCATTATGTCAACCTGTACTTCTGTCATATCTTTTACTTTTTACTGGTTTTATACAAGTTGTTCTACAGCTTCAAAAATGAGCGAAGGATTCATGGATTATCTAAGTGAAAGCATGCTGCTGTTTAAGCTTTTTTTCATCTTATATATAGAATTAATATAAACTAGTTATTCTTGATCAGGATAATTAGAAGATTGATTCATTCTACTCATTGTAAAAAAGCTTTTTTGTAAAGTTGAATTACTAACGTCAAGCTCATTTTATTCATTTAACTATTTTTCTCTTTCTTTTAAAATCTTAAGTTCATTAAACTTCTTGTTATTATGTTCTATTAATCGATCCATTTCCCTTTTCAGCTATAATTAAACAATTAGTTAAATTGATTAAATTTATTATTTTGCTATAAATTAAGTTATTTTTCATTATTTCTAAATAATAAAATTAGAAATTTAGCGAAATGTTTAAAAAAAAGTCATATCTATCTATGAAACTAATATTTACATTATTATCCTCTACTTGAAAATTCTAAGACTCAAAATAGGTTTTAATGTTTTTGTACTCATGGAATTATTCAAACAATTGTTTCTCTTTTTCATTATAAATCTTTTCTTCCTTTTGTTTGTTTAAAAGTTTATTATTATCAGAATTTTTGCTCCCTTTTCCATAAGAGACATTATTTTTTATGATCCTTTGCTACTATTGAGTGCTTCCATTCTTTTAAATTAAATTATTTAAATTTTTCATTAAGTTAACACCTAAATAATGTATTTGAGCAAAAAAAGCTCATTACTTAATTATTTGAGTTTTATTATTAACTATTAGATTAATTTGATATGTCTTTTTGAATTTGCTACATCGGAGTTGTAGGTTCTCTCGCGGCACTTGGTATCCTTTACATAGAATTGGAAGAGCTTTGCACATTGCTAGCTTATTGTTATGCCATATAATTTTAATTCAAAGCTCTTGGAGATTGAGCTATTATTGAAGCCATTTGTTTATTCAAACCCTAAATTATTTAGCTATTTATTTATTATATGTGTGTATTTATTTATGTATGTCCAGCAAGTTTTCTAAACTAAATAGTTATATTAGTTAAAACTGCAGATAAATTAATAAAAATAAATACCAGATTCTCTTAAGTACTTTGTTGTGTAAATTAATTAAATGAATTATGTCACAATAATACCATTTGATATTGAATTAATTAATTTTTAAAACCACTCATTCATTAAAACTTCTAAGATTCTTAAACACAATACAATGCAATATTTAGCTTAAAGCACTTGATTTGCTTATTTCTAAAACGAAATAGATCTTTAAAATTTTATGTGATTTTATTTTCTATTTTAAAATATTTGCAAAAATGAATTAATTAATTTATTTTTAAAAGCAATCAAATAAAATATTTAATATTCTATTTTATAACATTATTACTTAAATACCATTATTATTTTGATAAATTAACTATCTTAACTCATAATTTTCATCAATAAATTTATCTACTATCTACTTTATAAAAATTTATTATTTTTTATTAGCAATTATTATTCTTTAGTTAATTTTATATTCATTTTTAGGTTATTAAAAAGTATTTTTAAAATTTATGTAAAAGATAACAGAAGTTTATTTTACCATAAAGATAGTAATTATTGATCACTATATTTTTATCTAAAATCAAAGACGCCACATTTTAGAGACATAAAAACTGATTAATATTGCTGATACATAATATTGGTCTACAAAAAGTTGAGTGAATAAATAATTATACTATGATAGCTTTAACAAGTTATTTAGACATTATTTATATACTTTTATTTTTTTTAATTTTATTTTTCTAATATTAGCAAAAGTAAATATCTATCAAATTTATGATAAAAATATTTGGTTTTTATCAATTTCTTAAATTTCCTTTACTTAAATTCCTTAATTTATTTATTAAATAAATTTTAATTAGATTTATACATCAAATAATACTCTTTAAAGTGAAATTTAAATTGACTTATTTTAATGTTTTAGCTAATTAGGATTCTAATTTATATTCTCTTTTTAATCTTTTATGAATATTTAGATAATTATCTGTTTGTTTTGAGTATGAATTTAGCTTTTTAATTTAATTGAACCACAATAATACTCATAAATTAAATATTAATTTTCACTTCATATAAATTTAGAGAAAGGTGAAATTATTTATCAAAAAGTGTGTCTTATTTTGAATACTTTCTAATGATCCAAAATATTCAAATAGAGCTGCTAAAAAATGTTAAAAGGAAATAAAGTAAAATAAGAATAATATATATTTATAAATGAGGGTTTTAAGATATGATTATAAGTTAGGTTGATTTAAATAAAACCAAAAATATTAATACTACAAATATGTAAAATAACAGTTTTGGCAATTATAGTTTAAAAAAGTATTCACATTTTAATAGTATACATTTAAGTTTATAATTTTATATATTTTATTTTTTTCAAACAACGGAACCAGCGTTGGAAGCAACCTTGGGCCAGATGTCAGCACATTCCTTGGCGACGGGACCAGTGATTTGGGAACCCTTCATTTCACCCTTGGGGTTAGCAATAACACCAGCATTATCTATATAAATAAAAAAAAAATTGAATACTTATTCCAAAAAAATATTAAAGATGTTCAATGTAAAATGAAAAAATTCATTTATCCCTCTATTTATTTCTAAATTGGTAAAATAAACAAATATTTAGTCAATAATTTATTTATTTATTGATTGATTCTATTTTTACCAATTAATAAAATAATGCTATAAATTCTACTTAGCATTTTCTGAAGCTAAATTTGAATATATTTATTTGCTGATAAAGTCTTGAATAAGAAGATAGTGAGTGAGTGACATTTGTCAAATTTTCTACAATATTATTTTTAATGCTAATTTTTCTCTTATGTAACACGACATAAGGCTTAATTTATTTTGATTTGATAACTATACTCTATTTAGTTATTACTAATGATTTAATTTTTATTATTTTTGCCTAATCTACTCATCTTTATATTTGTAATTATTTAATAACATCTTTGCAAGACTTATCACTTTTTTAATAAATTGGGATTAATGATTTTTTCGTTTTCATTTTATGCCTTGTATTTAAAATATTTAAAATTATTCACCTTCGAAGTAGATGAAGACACCATCTCTTCTTCTCCAGGGTCTTCTTTGTCTGATGACGATAGCTTAGAGAACTATTAGTTAAATAATTAAATTAGAATTAGTTTTTAAAAATTGTTATTTTATAGTTTACCTTTCTTTCTGAGCTTGGGGGAACCCTTCTTGACGGAGCAGAGAATCATATCACCAATGGAAGCACTGGGGAGCTTGCTCAAGTGACCCTTGATACCGAAACAAGCAATAGTATATAAGTTCTTAGCACCGGAGTTATCAGCGCAGTTCATAACAGCACCGACGGGAAGACCCAAGGAAACTTTAGCCTTGGTACCGACTTAACCACCTCTACCTATAATTTAAGTAATTTAAATTTAATTTCAATTAATCCATATTTTAAAATTTTGTATTTATGAAAAACAACCAAATTAATCAATATCAATTAATGGTTTGTTTATCTTCTCCTAAAATTCAATTTTTCATCCAACTTTTCAAAGTCCAACACATCTATCTAATTAATTTAAATATCCTGCATTTTATTCGCTTTATATAAATTCATAAGCTTATCAGGCCCACTTTTTTTGCTTATCTCAATTCATATTAAATATTAATTTTAACATCAAATTATTATTTGCATCAAAGAGACATTTCCTTATAAATCTGTAGAATTTAATGAAAATTTTAGCTTTGTATAAAGGCATTTAACTGCAATTAGTGCTTCCATATTTTTTATGAGACTTTATGATGATGCGAAAACATTGAGCTGGCTGGATGAAAAATTTGTGAAATTGATCAATACAAATTTAAGTTAAAATTACCTCTAGCAGCAGCCATTTTGTATTATGTATTTCTTTTCTTTTTGTTTTAATTTTCTTATTAATTTAATTTATCTTTATTAAAAATTCCTTTGCTTTCTTCTCAGTTTTTGTTTTTGACCCTTCTTATTTTTCTTAATTTCCACCGATAAATTTGCATATCTTTTTCTTCCTTTTAAATTTATACGTTTATAATTAATTTATCCATAAACATTTTCTATTTTAAAATTTTAGTGTAATTTTTCTTATTTTTCTTTTTTTAACTCATTTTATATTTTAATAAAATTAATTTATTTATTCTAATTAAAAATAATTCGATTCTTAAATCTATTTAAATAACTTGCTATTAATTACTAACTTACTTATTTTATAATATCCCAATTATTCTTTTAAATGGGCAGTTTAATCTTTGTTTAAATAAATAATTGTAAATTTAAAATTTTATAAAAAAATTAATTAATTAACTAAGTTTGATATATTAAAAAATATTTTATATTTTGCGCCGAATTTTATTTTAATTTGTTAGGCTATTTTTTTTAATTTATTTATTATTAACTTGTCTTTTATAAATTTTTGATATAAATAATTTATTTATTCTAAGTAAGCATGACCACAATAATTTAATATGAACCTATGATTTTACTTATTGATAAACATTAATAGGGAAAATAGGCTTTTTTACAAATAAAAAAACAATAAAAAAATATTTAATAACAAAACACGGCAATTAAAATGAAAGCACATTTAAAATTTTTAATAATAAATTATTTAAATTTCTAATAAAATCTATTTATTATTATTAGAAAGATAATTTTTCTGAATTTTGAATTATTAAAATCTAAATTTTTTAAATTGATTTAAAAGTTTAATAAGTAATAAATTTTATTTATTTTACCAATCGATTTTTTAACTTACATTATTATTTTTAAATTTTGCTTTAGAAGAGTGTGATTTTGAAAATTATATTTCCAAGGTTTTTTCCAGTTAACAAACTAATTTTAGAAATAATGAAAAAATTTTAAAGAGAAATGAAATGTGTAGCTATAAAAAAATAATTATATTTTTATAGTAGAAAAAATATGTTTAAATTAAATTTTCAAGAATTTAAATGATAATTCTTTGTTTTTATTTAAAAAAATATTAATTTAAAAGTTACAAATTTTTGAAAAATCTTATGGCATGTAATTTAGAAAAAATAAGTGATTCTTTTGGATAAACAATCATCAAATAAAGTAAATGATTCATGAGCAATTTAAACTACAAATTTTAACTTAATTTTTACATTTTTCAAAGCAATTCTTTTATTAAAAATCTTGTAAAGGATTTAAACTTTTTTATAATTTTATAAATGTAAGAAGTAAATTTCTAAATCAGACCTCGTGTTTAAATAAATATTTTTTAAGTATTTTATATTAATGCTATTTATTAATTTTGCAATAATGTAATTTTTAAATTAAGTATGAAAAAGAATAATATTTTTAAACATAGTTTATAATTATTACACTCATAGATGATATTTAAATTAATCAAAGAAAGAACAAAAACTAATTAATTAATTGGTGGTAAACAATTTTCTTACATAAAAAAAAATAGACCTTTTATTTTAAAATGTGACCCAGTTAGATGATTATATTTTAAAATTACACTCTTTAAATAATTCATTTTTTAAGTATATTAAATATAAACTTTAATAAAAAAAAACAAAACATTCTTACATTAAACTAAACTAAAAAAATAAAATGAATAAAATTATTAAAGATGTTATTGTAATAGGAGCAGGTATATCTGGTTTATCTGCTGCTCATGCTCTTGTATAAAAAGGACTTAATGTTGCCATACTAGAAGCTAAGAGTACTTTCGGAGGAAGAATTTCTAAGAACTCTTAATTTGCTGATTTTCCAATTGAAACTGGAGCTGAGGAAATTCATCTTAAAGAAAGTGCCTATTTTTAGCTTGCTGAAAGCGTTGGAGCTATAATTCAAAGCGATGATTAAGTGAATAACTATATTGAAAGTCCTGATGAAGAAGTATTATTAGAAAGAGATCATTTCTTTGAGAATTCTGGTAGGGAAGAATTCTATCAAATGGTTATGAAGAATCGTAAGCAACTGAATGAAAATATGTCTGTACTAGAATATTTAGAACAACAAAAAGTAGAATAAAAATATTTCAAATTTTATGAAAATTTTTGGGGTGCTGAAAATGGAACTTCTATAAAAAATATATCTATTAAAGGATTAGCAGACTATGAGAGTGGGTGGAAGAGTGACCATGATGTAAATTATCTCATTACAAATATGTCTCACTTTGATGTAATTGAAAAGGCTTATGCCTCTATTTTACACTTGATACAATACAATACTCCAGTAAAGAGTATACATTATGGCTCTGATATTTAAAGTTTGGATAAATAAAATAATTCAGAAAATTATTCTGTTTAAATTACTGATAAAAATGGTAGAATATTTTATTCTAAATACGCTTTGATTACAGTTCCAGTAACATAATTAAAATAAGGTAAAATAGAATTTTATCCTCCTCTACCAGAAAAAAAATAGCATGCAATATAAAGTTTGTAATTAGGGAAGGGAGGAAAACTCCACTTAAGCTTCAAAGAAAAATTTTGGCCAAATAAATTTGGTTCTATGATATTGTAATCCTCAATCGGTATGGTATGGAGTTGCTCAGATTTAAGAAGTGAGTAATCTCATGTCTTATGTTGTTTAATTACTGAGCCCGTTGCTTTAGATATGAATGATCCCATAAAATAAAAATAACTAATAGCTGAACTGCTCTAAAAGCTATCAAGAATCTTTAAAAGAGATGATATAGAAAGCTTGCTTAACAATACTCACTGGATTGAATACTCATAAATAGAGTATATTGAAGGTAATTATACTTATCCTTCTTTAAATATGGGTAACTCAAAAGAAATACTATCTCAAAGTGTTGATAATAAATTATTCTTTGCAGGAGAATCAACAAATCCAAGATACTCATCTACCATACATGGAGCTCTTGAAACAGGATTAAGAGAGGCAGCTAAAATCATTGATATTTAAGAAGAACAAATTGATTAACTATAAATTTAAAATTGATTAAAGGTTAAAATATAAATTAATTATTTTTATGTTTGTATAAATTATTGGTAATAGTTAACTTAATTCATTTTTATAACTAAAGAAATTAGTTTTAATTTTAGAAGGATTTTTAATATTGACTTTTCCTTTAAATTTTTAAATAAATCTTTTATTAAATTAAAAAAACCAGAATGATTATTTTTACAACATATTATTTAATATTTTTATTTCAAAAATTAAAAAATTTAGTAGATTCATTTTATTTTTCTTTCAATTTTTAAACAAAGATTTTCATTTATTACATGAATTTTAATAAGAAAATATTTCCTTTTTCTACGAAATTTTTAGTATTTAATCAGAATAAATAAATATTCAAATTAACTAGAATATTTGAATTTATAGATTACAAGATTTAGTAGATGGAAATGAGTTTGTTTTATCATTTATATAAAGAATAAATTATTCAATAATTTTATTTTTTTCACTAAGTACTTTTAAAATTAATTCACAAGATTCTTGGTCCATTCTTTTTTCTTAAATTCTTTTTAAATGTGGCCATATGCGTTCAATCGTTTAGGTATGGATCAACTCTCCATAATATATGCTATGCTAATCAATTTTTTTTGAGCTCAAATATCAATTAATATGAATATTCTTTAAAGGAATACTTTACCAAAATATGCCTTGAAATAATTATCTTATTTTGCGCGCAAAATAAAAAACCTTACTTATAATTTCAAATTTAAAAAGATATTAATTAAAAACTATTTGTTAAAAGACACATTGAAATTTTTAATAGAATAAATATTGTTTATTATTGATCGAATAGTATCTCAAAAGCAAATTATATTATTTGTAATCTTAAAATAAAAATGAACTATGAGAATGCTATCTAGTTGATAAATGACCCTACTTTTTTGAGGTAGGAAAATAATATCCATTAAATTATTTAGCTTATTTAGCAAGCAGGGTATAACATTTTTATTTTTAATTATTAATCTTTACATTTTTATTTCAAACAAATCACTTAGGCTTTAGTAAAATTTAAAGAAAAATTCAGTTAGCCTTGTTACTAAATTTCTTTAAGTTATGTGTGCATAGAAGGATATGAAAAAGAAAATATTTTTAGATAGCTTATTAGAAAGTCTCAAAGCAATATAATTAGCTACAAAAAAAGGGCTTAAAATAGATATGAAAATAATAATTATGAAAATTATATCTTTTGCAGGTGATAATTCTTTTATTGATGAAGGTTTACTTTTAAGTAAATATTATTACTACCAATAAAAAAATCCTTCATGCTTTTACTACGAGTTTTCAAAAACAAATCCAAGATGGAACTTAACTGATTTAGAAGCTGACATAATTAAGAGTACTGATGATCCAAAGGATAAAGAAAAGAATACATATGTATTGATTTCAAGAATTAAATTATTGTAGAGAACTGTTGGAGGATTTAGCAGTTACTATGAAGAAACAAAATCTAATTTGTAACTCGCCTCTATTGTCATCAGTGAAAAAGACTCTTACTTTAAAGATTATATATTCCTAACACATAAAATGATAATTAATGCACTCAAAGGAAATGAAAAAATCGATTAAGGTACTATATGTTCATTTTACTTTTATCACCTAACTTAAGAGAATATTACAATAGATTAGTTTGGTGCTATGCTAGTAGATATACTCAATCTAAATAAATAAAATAGTTTTTAAAAAAATATGATTCATTCTATAATAGTGGATTGTATATAACTCATATCCAACAAGAGCTCAAAAAAAATATACACTTAGATTTTTGAAAATAAAATTGTTATAAATATGATAGAAGTACTGTGCTTTTAACTAGAAGACTTGTAATTAATTGAAAAAATTGCACTTTATTTGAGTGAAATACCTTATAACTAAAAGATATAACATATAAGTATATTGTTAAAGATTTCTTCAGCATTAAAAGAAGAAAAATAAGCAATTGAAGAAAATAATTTCTAAAAAAGCTAACTTTAATAAAAATAATAGTAGAAATAGTTATTCAAATATGAGTAATAGTAAAATTTAAATAATTTTTCATTTAATAGTGACCAAGAAAGTATGACTATTGTTTAAGAGTAGCTATCACATAAGAATCAAAATACTAATGCAAGTTCATTATTTACTGTTACTTAACCACACATGAATAAAAATTAGAAAAGTAATAATAATGGTAAGAGCAAATCAAGAAGAAGCAAGAGTAAATAGCGAATATCTAATACTTAATTAGAAAAAAATGAATAAATAAAATAAAATGACTAATTTGAAGATACGACTAATAACAATTATAATCAAAATGCTAATGCTAATATTGAAAATTAATACTTTGATAATAAGGAGAATATTTTTTAGGAGAATTTCATTTAAATCGCTGCACCTGCAAATGCCCTTCAATAGCAAGTGGTTTTAAAAAAAATAAAAGAAGAAGATTAATTTTATAGATTGTGTGAAGACTACTAAGAACTCGATATAAAGGAAGTTGGAGGTATACAAGTAATGATGGCTTATAAGATTTTTAATTAAATTTAAGACCTGAAAAATATTTATTTTAATAGCAAACTAAATAATCGAGAAATATTAAAAGAATTAGAAAAACCCAAGTCAAATAGTATGATGTCTGACAGCACTGGTGCATAAAGAAAAAATATTTAAAATGACATTATTGATTAAGATTTGTTAAATATATTGATTATTTAAAATGAAATTTGTGAGCTGATTAATGAGTAAGAAATAAATCGCTAAGAGATTAGGTGCTAAAATTTATTCTATATATTCACTTTTTTTTTAAGTATGATAGAAGATTAAGATAATATTTATTTCAACTACAAAAGAAATAGAAGGAAAGGGGGAAATAGTGGTTACTAAGTTATTTCTGTTTAAATAAAGTTATTAGTTGAGGATATGTTTAAGTATCACAGATATTAGAATATTGATAAAATAGATTCTAAATCATCTAAAGGCAGATCTTTTAGAACTCTACCTGAATATAAACAAAAGATGGAGGAGATTAGAAATTTTTAGATGAGCTATACAATTAAATGTTCTATAGCATTATTTAAGAATAACTTGGATATTCATGTATCATAAGATCTAGTTGATACTATAGTAGAAAATTTAGATTTTGAGGATTTAGATTTAATTCATACACTAATTTTAGCATTCGCTTAGTAAGAAAATATAGATTTGAATAAAAAGCTTAGTATAGTTGCAGATAGGTCTATTGAGCTATTTATTTCAATGCATAACTTTTAAAATGATTGCTAAAACATCAAAGAAAGCTAACGATTAGTATCTAGCGTTTAGAAAGAATAAAAAGCCATTTCAGATTTACAGAAACTTATGAAAAAGTTAGAATGTACCTGTGTAATAAATTTAGTTTATTTACACCATGCATCTATAGATTAAAAAATAAGAAACTCTCATATAGTTTAATGCTTAAATAAAAAGCTCAATGAATTCAAAGAATGTGTTTTAAAAAATCAAATCGATTCCTAGCAGTTGTATGTCTAAATAATGATGGAAACAGTCTGCAAATATATGTTTAGTAAGAAAAAGAAAAGCTAATAACTGAAAAAGCTTAATTTATAAGGAGTTTTTGAAGAAATAGGAAACAATTTTTCATAGATACTTTCTTGGAACGAAAAAAATCTTTTGGAACAATTAGGTTTTTTTATTTAATACATGGAATTTAGTGATTTTTGCATTACATAAATGTAAAGAGATAAAAATGAATTTGGAACAGAAGAATCTATTGAAATGCAAAAAAATTTAAATATAATTAGAAGAATGACAGTTAAAAATCTAGAGTCTTTTCATAATGTAGACAGTTTAGATGTCAGCAATGAAAAATGTTTTAATAAAGTGTTAATTCAAGTTTTGACAAAGATCGTTTAAATAATTAACACTAAATTTAACATTTAAAAGTCTGCACTGTAGATTAGCTTTAAAACTATTAACTTGAAGCTTACTCTTATCAACAAAATTATTTGTTTAATATTAGAAAATAAACTAAAAGACACAGCTTCAATATAAAATTTAACTGCAATATAAGTTCTCTATGAATCAAGCACATACTACAATTAAATACTTTTAATGCTTTTAGAAATAAATGAAGACATATACTATATTTTGTAGCATAATACAGGCTCAAATTAATAGAATTGGGATTTATAACACACTCATTCATTTATAGTTAATTTTTTACTAGCTTCTGAAAACATCCAAGGGTCTCCCTTAATACCAAAATTCAATTTTTTAAGATAAAATTTATCATGGAGAGAAGTTAAGCAGTTTTTACACACACTTAAGTATATAAGAGAATTAGCTAGTTACTTTTAAGTTGGAATTTTGTAAGCAAATATTATTGTATTTGAATTACTATTATTGAGGTTTTTAAATTATGAAGGCTAGTTTTTGAAAAATACAACACTAGATTTTCATGAAAAAGATTTCTCTGAACTATCTAGTGTATCTTAAGAGTATAGCATTGGTTTTTAAAGTGATAAGGATATAAAAGAAGATTCTTTTTTTAAGTTTATTGAATTGAGAATAGAAGAAAAGTTGGAAGAATATATTTAGGTCCTCCATTAAAATTAGAAATCCGATGAAGCTAAAAAATTATTAATCTACTCTAAAGCCAATTCAAAGATTGAAGATATTTAATCTTGGTTATAAGAAATATAACAATGCTTAAAACGCAAAAGAGTGAGCTGTGGAAAGCTTATAGAAAAAAATACTAATTAAATAAAGTATATAATCCATGAAATTAACGTTCTTAGGATAGAAAACAACAAGATCGCTTCATTTTAACCAGACAATCTAAATGAATAAACAACTAAAATTCATTATAGAGATATCATGAAGGAGGCAGATGAGATTGAAAATGAAATAGAGAGTTATGATAGAAATTCTATTTCTTCATAAAATAAACAAATTCTAAAACTAGATTATATAGTATTAAGCCTAAGAATGCATATATATTGCGCCTAGTATATCAGAAATAGCAATCAATCATATTTTTCTACTTAACTCATGGAGAAGGCTTTTAAAAAGCTAACTTCGATTTGCTTTGAAAAGGCTGTAGGTAACTTAAGTGACATTTATGAAAACTATTCTCTTTAATAAGGCGCATGCTAAATGTACCATGCTGCAGCGAAGACTTAATAGGAGATAAGTGCTTAACAGTCACAAATAGGATTTATCATCAATCCCTTTACTAAAATTTAGACTTTAGTCAATAACAGGAAATACTCCTCAAGCAATAAAATATTAGGAGATTTAGTAGAGTATCTGAACATAGGGAATGGCTTTTCTTACTTTAAAAATACAGGAAGCAAAAGAATATAATAGCTGCTAATTCAATGCTTAAAATTATATTGCAAGAATTAAAATTCTTTAAATTGCTTTAATAATCTTAAATATTATGGAAAGCTTTTACAAATAACTAGTATTAGATTCCTTGTTTTGCATGAATTTTTAAGGATTTAGACTATTCTAAAGGACTACTCTGATTTCTTAAGAAACGGCGTTTTAATTGATATAATAGGTAATCTATTGTTATAAAAATAGTTTAATCTACAAACTCTTCATAATTTATTTAGCAAGCGTAAATCCAGTGTTATAAATATGTAACTCAGTAATTTCATCTAGTCTCTAAATGATAAACTTTTAACATAAGATTTAGATTTAAGATCCACAAAAATGTATAAAATATCTATGCAATACATGATTTCCTTGTTTACCTCTTCAGTACGTATAAATCATAAAAACTTAGAGAGTGAAATTTGTGAAATGATATTTTTTTCAAAAAAGAAATTCTATTTTCTCAATCCATAACTCCATCAAAATTTGTAAGAGAATTCTGAAATGTCAAGAAATGGAAGTGTCGAAATAAATAAAAATAAGAAAATGATTTCGAGAAATCAGAATTAAATAAATGATTCAAAACTAAATAAATTTCCTTCAGGAGTATGCTAATTATTTTATAATATTCTCTCTATCGATAAGAATAACTCAAAGTAATAAACTTATTTCATAGTAAATGAAGATTTTTGCTCCCATATTATATCTCATAAAAACTATTATTCATTTACATTGAGATACCTTACTTTAATGCAATCATTAAACTTACTGAGTAAAATAACAGACTGCAGATTGAGCATGAGCGAAAACTCTAATTAAAGTAAAAATCCAACAGTTTTATGTGACGAAATACATGGAAATTTTATAGCTTTAATTAATTTTAGGTAGTTATGCCAGCTGATGCATAATTCTTATCTATAATATAATTTGACATATGCAAAGCAATTCTTTTATCTTTATCATAAATTTGATGAAACTATAAAAGAGCTATTAAGAGAAATTCCATATCTAATATAAGTTTATTAAAATAATACAGTTGTAAAAAATTGTTCATGTTTGCCTTCTTCCTAAGTTAAAGCTCCTTTGTTTTTGGATGGAAGCAGATAACTCATTACTGAATCGTTTGCTCTTGATGCTTCGTACATGTATAAAAAAATGCTTGTTAATTCATAAGATTTATCAGAGTAGTAAGATGCTATTTTGCTAGAATAAGAAAATTTTGAAGAACCAGATTCGAGCATGAAGCAGTCATCATCCATGTCAAGTGATTAAAGTGAATAAAAATTACAAAATTAGCAAAATAAAGTAAAATAAAAAAATAATCTAATGATGGATGAAACAGAAACAGCTATTAATTCTAAATAATTAGGGCAGTTTGAAAAGTTAAGCTCAGTAAATAGTATTTAGCAAGCTTAAATAAATTTTGAGTTCAAAAGATTGAGAACAAGTATGAGAGATTTTAGCATTAGCAAATATGCTAAAAGTGACCTAACTTAAGTTTTATAAAAGTCTTTCAAATACAGCAGGATTGATAACTTTAGCTAGAGGCATTATTAATTTTAACAAATAAAGTTAGAACATGATTTGATAATATTAAACTTTATTGATTATAATAACGAAAGGGCAATTCAAATATCAAAGTTTAATCATCTTAACTAAAATTATTCTAATTTTAGAATTAATAGTCAATCTCAAACTAATTTATTTTCAGACTACATAAATGACATAAAAAGAATACTTCAAAATAATGAATCTGATATGAGAAACGATGAAAAAAAGCGAAAGTCTTAAGTTGATCCAAATAACTGGTGGAAAAGTAGATATAGCAATGACAAATAACTTGAGAAAATCCTTAGCCAAACTCAAACCATTCTTGACTATCACATAGTAAATTTTTATTTTTAGCTTCTAATTTTTTAATATATTTAATTTATAAAAGTTTTTGTTCTTTGGAAGTGAATAAACAGAAAGAGAAAAAAAAATAATGTAAGATATTTTAGTAAGGATAAACTAATGTGAATAAATATGCATAGCTAATTAACCAAATGATCAATGTTCTTTATTTGAAAAGCATATTTTAATTCAAGAAAAAAATAATTTAATAGAGCTGTTATTCTCTTTGATTAAATGTTCTTTGTTTATAACTTTGAACTAAACAAAATTAAAGCTCATTTTTGAGTTGATGTGCATTCAAAATATATATTTGTAATACTTAGGTTTTCAATCTTAGCAATAACTTTTTTCAGAGGTATCAATTTTTTTTAGCTTTCACATGATTAAATCAATGAGTATTTTTACAAATTTAAAAGATTTGCAAACTATAAAATGAGTACTAAAAAAGCTATAATCCTTCATAAAGAAAACCAATGATGTGGATTCTAAGTGAAAATCTTTTACAGGCACCTTTAGAATTTATGAACTGCTTTTCTGAAAATAATTAAACTTTCTATAGAATACCCTCTTTATAATACCTTTATGAGAAGTATAATTTATTTTTTATTAAAATAAAATATTTAATCCTATTTCAATTTAGTTACACCCCTAATAACAGTGTAAATTTCTCTAATAATTATTATTTACTAAACCCTTCTGGAGATCTGGTTCATACTTAATCTAAATTCTAACATAAATTTGAGTCGTAATATTTAAATTAAATTTAATTTAAAAATTTTATCTTTTATTTATTCTAAACCAGGATAAGGTCATGGGAAGGTGCTAGTGGATTTAGTGTAAGTACTAAAGAACTCTAAAAAGTACTTAAAAATTATCAATCGTATACATACATCGGACATGGGGCAGGAGAGCTCTATATAAATCAAAAGCAAATTTAAGAAATAAAAAACATAAAATCTGCTATTTTGCTATTTGGTTGTCAATCAGCTAGATAAGCTGTGTAGTTAGAATTTAACTCTCATTAATACGAAGTTACAGGAAATAGCTTATACTTTTTAATGAATAATTGTAAAGTCCTTATTGGGAGTCTTTGGGATATAACAGATAGAGATACTGATAGGATGGTTTTAAAATTAATTTAAATTATTGAAAAAGCTAGTTTGAAGAAACCTATTGATTTTAGCTAAGCATTTTTACAGTCGAGAGAGTAATTTTATAAATATTTGTTTTCTAAAATAATTAATGTTTTTTAATAATTAAAGGGAATGTAAACTAAAATGGCTTAATGGATCATCATTTGTTTGTTTTGGAATCCCAACTTAATTCCACATGAAATGAATGAACTTAAAAATAAAATTTTCCTAAAAATTTGTTTATTAAATTTTACTAATAAATTAACTATTAAAAATTATATAAAAACTATTTATATTTATAAAATCATTTTGTTATCTTAGTAAGTAAGTAAGTTAATTAGTTAATTAATTATTCTCTGCATGCTTTATTGACTAATTCTTTTAATTCTTTATAATTTGATTAAGTATACTACTCATCTAAAATAATATCGAAACAGAAATTTCTAAATTATATACAATAAACAAGAGATATCTTTTGTATGTGAAAGATACAATAATTAAAAATATATATATATACTAAAATATAGTTATTTCTTTTAAATTTGTATATAATTGATTGAGCAAAAAGCAAGTATTAGTAAATTTATAAGTTGATAGATAATATTTATTGAATAATGTAGCTACCTAAAAAAGATTTATTCTTCTATACTGATAGAGAGAGCCTCACCACATATGTCTATTATAAAAATAAACTTGATTAAAATTATAAAAAAGCAATATACTATCCTGATCAATATGAAACAATGACTAATTCTTAAATTGAAGCATATAGAAGATAAGTTAATTTAAAATTCTTAAAATGGTCATTTTTCAACAAAGATAAAATTCATGAGTCTGCAGACCGTAGAATCATCACTAGCTAGCTTGTTGATTTAAATTTTGGTCTCTTAGGATGTGCTTGTGTTGGTCTCATATTCTTTAAATTTCTTAAAAGAATCGAAGCCCCTTTCTTAGAAATGTATCTAGAAGATAAAGTACTTGGCTTGAATAGTTTAAGATTAATAGCTAGTTCTGGTATTAGCATATATGGATTAAACTATATATATAAACACATTTTTGGATAAAAATATTTATAAGATTTATCATTAGAGTATAAAGAACAATTTTTACCAAATTAAATTGTTGATAGTAAAGTAGAAGGTATTATATAGAAATACTTCCCTTTATAAAAAGATCAATAAACTACCTAAACTGTGGAACCACAACAAAAATGATAGATGAAAGCTTGTTTTTTTTTAAGAAATTTAAACTGTTATTGAATAAAAAAACTTAAAATTATATTTTAAGTTAAATTAACTTTTAATTTAAAAGCAGAATGCCTAAATTATTGTTTCATTCATTCATTGATTTGTTTTATATTATATTTTAATTTACAAAAAAACACTATTTGATAAAATATAATTTCTCTTTATTAAAAACTATATGGAATTACATTCATTATTTAATAAAAAATCATTTACCATCCTCTAAAATTATTTTCAAATTTCGTTATTTTAACTGCTTGAAGAGAGGAAAATTATATATCAATAAAAAATTCAAAAAATGAAGATTTTTTAATTTTAATAAAGACATTATTTCAATATTAAAAATAAAATAAACAGTAAATTTTGTTGGCTTTTTTCAAAATATTTAATGAAAGATAATTTGATAAAAAACAAAAATTGAATAAGGTAATCAATTGAATTTCAATTAAGAATATAATTTTATATATTTAATAAAAATAAAAATTAGAAATTTTAAGCAAATAATGTTTTATATAAATCTTACATAAAATTTTAGAAAATTAATAACTAAAAGAAAATATATTAATTTATTTTTAACAATTTCAAATTTCATAAAAATTTGAAAGTCATTTATTTAAGTCAATAGTCCAAACTGGGTTAGTTTTTTTATATTTTTACATTGTCAATAAAATTATTTTCTAAAGCTATGTAAATATCTTTATAAATACATTTAATCTAATTTATAAAGTCAGTATAGTGTGAAATTGTTTATGTTATTTTTTATTGCTCCAAGCTATAGACAACAACTTTTGATTGGGAATCTACTTTCGAGTTGCATCCGTATACTATCAAATCATAATGAGAATTATAGTCAAAGCATTTGATGCTCCAACTAGATTCTTCTTTTATCTAATCTACTTCATCGTACTAATTATCACCATCCCAAACATAAATGCACCCATCATTACTGCATGTTACTATGTATATTTGAGCTTTTCTTTTTCTATGGATGAGGCTGATTTGGTTTATTGTATCATCATGAGCTTCTACTTTTTTAAAAAGCTTGTAAGTACTAAGTTCCCAGAATTACACATACTTCTCACTTACACATAAAATCATTTTATTATAAATTGAAATTTCGTTAATTATTGATTCTGAATAATCTAATTTATTTTTTCCTAACCCTTTTTCAATATCCCACACAATTAGCTTCATATCTTTACTACTACTGATTAAGGTTCTTTCATTCTAAAAAGCCATACTAGTAATGCTGTCTTCATGTCCTTTTAAAATATGCACCTTTTAAAGTACTGGGACAGGTTTCCAAATAATTATAAGATCGTCATCACCTCCAGAAGCTAAAATCCTACTCATATTATGATATTTAATTACTGTTATTGATGCATTGTGGCCTTCAAGTGTATTCAAAAGCTTATATTGAGTTCTTTCCCAAATTTTAATCAGTTTATCATCTCCTCCACTTGCAATTTTATCATTACCAATTAATTCAATTGATTTTATTTTTCCATCGTGAGACATTTACATGCTTTGCTAAATTTAATTATAAGCTACCCTTGAAAGATCCAAATAAGATGCGTTTTATGATTGTGGACTTGTATTTAAATTTGATTTACTACCTCCTCCTCCATTATTAAACGAAGCACTGTTTACATTATAGCTTGACCTAATTGTACTATCATTTTTAAATTATTTTTTTTCAATGTTAAATTTATTTTGCAAAGGAGAACTTGAGTTAATCTACAATTATTTAGGAGAGTGTTTAGGAGGAGTTGCTGGCTTAATTTAATTTTACAAAAACTTATTAATATCTATATTTTAATGGAAAGTATCTATTTGTATATTTTAATTTCTTCCTTTGCTATCACTTTTTGTAATATAATTATGAGTAATAGCATTAACAGAGGCTTCTTTAGGTCTATTTTCGCTTAGCTATGTATTCAAATTCTCATTTTCTTTTAAATTAATTGATTGAATCATCGAATGGCTTCCTATTTTCGGGGCTTAACTATTTTAATCTTGAGCTGGTAAATTAGTATTTAATTTCTATACTGGTCTTGGCAAAGGGCTATTACTAGTATTCTTTTTTGGTCTACTAGAAAAATTATGATTACCAGAACCAGAAACTATTGTTGGATCAATTAGTTCTGGCATTTAGTTTAATTATAGTTGCTTTTAAGGCTATTAGCTTAAGTTATTTTTGTCTTATTTTTCTTTAAATGGTTACTAAGCAATTTATTCTAAGCTATTTAAATTATCATTTTAAAATGAATGTATTATTTTTTACTATGCTAATGATGATGGTACTTATTTTTAAATTAAATTTAATTATTCTAATTATTCTTAATTTTCTATTTAGTTAGATTAAATAAACCTAGGATTAGCCAATTATTATTTATTTGTATTTTATTAGCTTAAGATTTATTGCTATTCAGGTAAATTATTATCTTACTTAGATGATAAGTTTTATTACTTTTATTAAATTGGTAATTATTTTTAAGGTTGGAAAATAGCAGACTGATTTTGTTATGGTTAATGCTATTTTTAAGGTTATTGTTATATTTAGTATTACTATTAAATATAAATAGGATCATTGTTTATTTTTTACGGTTATTAATTCAGTTAAACATTTTGTTGCAACTATTCTTATGATATTTATTAATTTTAAGATAAAGGCTGATTCATTTATTAACTAGTAAGGTATGATACTGGTAAGATTGAATTTTATTATTATTAATTTTGCTTATTTAGATTTGATTAAGATCCACTATTTGAGTTATTTTTTTAAAGAATTTCTTTAGGATTAGCATTCACGCTTTTATAACTTTACATTCCATTTTAAGCTATCATTCGTTGTTATTCTTCTCCTGTTTTTTCTTATTTATCATCAGTCATTCTACTTCTAATTGAAGGACCTTACCTAGAAAAAATATTTGTCCTACTACCACTTGCACTTCTTGGACTAGTCCCTTGTTATTAAGGCTAGGGAGATTATTAAACTGTTGTAGAATAACTTATTCCTTACATTGGTGAAACACTTCTATTAGTAGCAGTAATATCCAATTAAGATTGATTATTCAAATTTTAATTAGCTCTTTTTGCATCATAAGCTTCCAAAGCTTAATCTATTTGCCTCAAATATAAGTATAAGTCTTTTGCAAACTTAGGAGTTTCTGATAGTATATTATTCCTTATAGAGTTGTTTTTTCTGGTTAAAAGTAAAATTGCTTTTATGTTATCTTCTCTAAAAGTAGTAACTTAAAAACGAGATGAATCATTTTAATTATTATTGTATTTTAACCTTGAAATCAGCTATTAAATTTTTTCTTATGCTTCACCTGGTTAATTTATCATTTATGATTCTATCTAGTTTATATGATCTAAATGCTTTTATTCAACTTCAAATATACTATCTATAAGTTCTCTATCGCATTCTATATTAGTACTTATTCTTTTTTTTGCAGACAAGACTATTTCCTATAAAGATTATGAGAAATTATCTAAATAGTTTGATAATTCTTGCTATATTAACTCTAATTTTTAAGAATCTCTCTTCAATTCTTAAATTGCTTATGATAATTAGCAGCTTTCTTTGTAGGTATTTAAAAACATAGTCAGTGGTTAAATATTATGATCTTTATGAGCTGTTGTTGCGCAAATTTAGCATACCAACCCTCTATCTATGCATCCATTTTAGATACATACATAGCTTAATTAGCTACCTTCATGGTTTTGTAAATTACAAAATAATGAATGATCCTATTATCTTAGATTATAGTTTCCTTACTAAATCATTTTATATAACAAATTCTACCTATTACCTACTACCTAGACAATTTAAACACACTTCTAGAATACTACTTAATAAAAATAGTGCAAAAGGTAAATCTAAATATATATTTTCAGATTCTAATATTATTGAACCAGATATTTATCAAATTAATGATTGATTGATAGTAATTTTATTTGATTTTTTATATTTTTAAAAATACTTTAAAATAAATAAATTTTCGATAGATAATCAATTAATTTCTCAAAATTAATAAATTAAAAGTAATTGAAAAATTTTATGGAATTTAACTTTACCGTTAAACAAACATACAATTAATTAATTAATTAAAAGTTGTTTAATATCTTATTTTAAAAATAAATCTAAAACATAAAAATAAAAAGTTTATTTATTTTTTTAGCATGATGAAGTTAATGATTTTTTTCACTGATAGAACTTTGAATATTCTAAAAATATATCAATATCTTCTTTTTTTACATACCTATAAGAACAAAACATTTTCCAATCAAAATTTTTATCCAGAAACTCACTAATTTGTTCATTAGATAAATTCATTAAGTAGCTTTCTTCTTACGTATTAGTTATTGAGCCATAGTATTTTACTTTATTGATTTTATTATTAACAAACGCTTTTTATAGTTTAGGAAGAAAACACTCAAGTATATATTAAGATCTATCTTTGTGATAATCTGAAGTTACTATAGAGATATTCAGTTTTTTTTCTTTATAATTCCTTTCAAAAATTTTCCAAATCTAAAAGAAAGAAAATATAAAATTTTCTACTGTAGTCATAGACTATTCTTCTTGTATAAGAGTTTCATCTTAATATTTATAAGTTTTTTTTAAATATTCTTTCATCATGTAACTTTCGTTTCCTATTTAGCCTTTTCCGCTTAAAATGATACAAGATTTAGTTTGAATGTCTTTATTTATTTATTATTCGTCAACCAGGTTTGATTAAAACAATCTATTTGCAAATTCTAATCTATCATATAAAAAATTTTCCATAAGATATTTATTTTATGAAACTTCCTTCAATTTTAAACCTAAAACAATAATTATATTGATTTCGTTTTATAAATCGTTTTTTTATGAGTCCATTTTATAGATAGTTTAATTAGATATTTGTATTGAATTAATAATAAAGATAAAATCTTTGAATGAATGTTTGCTTATTATTATCGATTGAATAAAAAATTAAAGCTATTCAAAATAAGAAGGATAATATAGTTATTCTAAAAAGTTTATATAGAAAAATATCAAATCCTAAGTGAGTGTATTAGTTTTTTATCAGATTTTAGTTTATTTTATTAATAAACCATCATCCATTTTCAGGCTATTATGACTAAAAAGAACATATTAGATTTATTAAACAACCATTTTTTTCTATTTAAATCTGATTTTTTCATTTTTCTATATTTTAAGCAAGTTTCTTTTTATAAACATTTTTTATTTCATTTTTAAAGTGAATTTTCCTTAGATTTTATAACATTCGATTTAACAAATCAGATGATAATTAATAAAAAGAAAATTAAATATTAAAAAATTTGAAAAAAGAATTTAAAATATACATACCCTCATATACACTATTTGATAATAAAAAAAGATTATTTAATCAATAAGTAATTAATATTAATATCAAATTTTCAATTAAAATAACATTTTTTTTCATAAAAAAGTAAATACTCAAATTAGTAATTTTAGGAATTTGCTGAAATACAATCAACATTTGATCATAGGTTTAATAGTATTTAATGAGTTAGAAAAAAAAAAATAGTAATGAAGAGTGCGTAAAAGTCGCTATGAGATGCAGACCTATTTCTAAATAGGAATTAATAGATAATAGATAGGAAATAGTTAAAATTGATCCAGAAAGAGGTGAAGTTATTGTAAATAACCCTAAAGGGGAAGGAAGTGAAAACAGAAATGTTTTCACATTCGATGTAGTTATTAATTAAAAATCAACTTAAGAGCATGTTTATAAAATGACAGCTCTACCAATTGTTGAATCAGTTTTAGAAGGTTACAACGGTACCATTTTTGCATACGGTTAAACCGGAACAGGTAAATTAATAAAATTATTTCAAACAGCAAAAAATGTTTTGCATAATTTTGTGATAAATCTTATGAGATATTCTGTGTTTAATTATATTTAAAAATTCCTCTTTTTATCTATTTTAGGTGTTTATTAGTTTTTGAAAATTCATTTTTTATATAATCATAGGTAAAACTCACACTATGGAAGGTAGTAATGAACCAGCTGATAACAGAGGTATTATCCCAAGAACTTTCGAGCATATTTATAGAGTTATTGAAGGTACTCCTTCTAAGCAGTTCCTTGTTAGAGCTAGCTTTTTAGAACTTTATAATGAAGAAATTAGAGATTTACTTGCCAAAAATGCCAAAAACAAATTATAATTGCATGAAAATCCTGATACTGGTGTTTATGTGAAAGACCTTTCATCATTTATTATTTAAAATCCTAATGAAATGAAAGAAAAACTTGCTCATGGTCGTGAAAATAGAAAAGTAGGAGCTACAAAAATGAATGAAGGATCTTCTAGATCCCACTCCCTATTTATGATTACTGTTGAAATGAGTGAAATAAGAGATGGATAGTAGCATATTAGAGTTGGTAAATTAAATCTTGTTGATTTAGCTGGTTCTGAGCGTTAATCAAAAACACAGGCAACTGGTGAGCGTTTCAAAGAAGCTATAAACATTAATCAATCTCTAGCTACTTTGGGTAAATTCTAAATATTTAAAAAATATTTTATTAAATTTAATTGTAATTTATAAAAATAAATAGGTAATGTTATATCTGCTTTAGTCGATAATAAACCATATACTCCTTACAGAGATTCCAAACTAACTAGATTGCTCTAAGATTCTTTGGGAGGTAATACAAAAACTGTTATGATTGCTAATATCGGACCTGCTGATTATAACTACGATGAAACTATTAGTACTCTGCGTTATGCAAGCAGAGCAAAAAGTATTAAAAATAGACCTAAAATCAATGAAGATCCTAAGGATGCTATGATCAGAGAATTTTAGGAAGAAATTAATCGCTTAAAAGAAGAACTTTAGAAAAAAATGGGTTCAAATATTCAAATTGGTCCAGATGGAAAGATTGCTAAAGTTGTTGAAGTAATATTTCACATTATTTTTTTTTACAATTTCTATTTATTTATTGGTTATTTTATTCTAATAATTATCACTTCAAGATATTTATTTATGACATTTTTAAATTTTAATAGGTTTAAAAAGTAGTAGTAGTTACTGATGAGTAAAAGCTCAAGGAATTGGAGGAATAAATTGAGAGAGAGAAAAATCTACTTGAATCAACAGTAGGCAAAAAAAGGGAATAAATTGAAAGAGACTTGGCAGATTCAAGAGAATAAAAGGAGAAATTGGAGAGATAGCTTAAAGAAAAAGAAGAGTAGGTAGCTAAATAAGCCTAGGAATAAGAAAAATACCTCTAATAAATAAAAGAAATGGAAAGCAAAATTATCTAAGGAAACAAGCTTAAAGAGACTCAGAGAGAGAAAGAAAAGCAGTTAATAAAGCTTTAAATTGAATTAGAAGAAAGAAAATAAGAAGAAAGAAGAAAACAGGAAGAGCTTGAAAAGAATAATGCTTTAGTAATAGGAGCTTAGGAGTAATACAAAAGTTTACAAGAAGAAATTGACGCTAAGACTAAAAAGTTAAATAATATTGTAGAAAGAATAAAACAAGCTCGTTAGTAAACAAATGAAATACATGAATACAGACTCCGTGAAAAGGAAATCTTATTGGATGAAAATCGTTCTATTACCAAAGAATTAAAGCTCATAGATCTTATTATTGAGCACTTTATACCATAGAATGAAGTTAAAAAGCTAGAATAAAAGCTTATATTCTCTGATGAAGATGGAGACTGGAATATAAAAGATGATGCAAATGAAGGCCATAAAATTTCTAGACCAGCCTCAGTTTTCGGATTTAAAAGACCAATCTGTGAATCTGCTCGTATGGCAATCAAGTTCGGAGACTCTAATCCTCGTTTTAGAACTGACAATATTTTGTAGTTAGATCTTGAATTACCTGAAATAATAACTGAAGATTTTGATGGAAACGTTAGTTAAAAAGTGTAAGAAACTATTAATATCGCTTTGAATGAAGATGAAGAAGAGCTTTAGATGATGGCTAATGAAAAAATGCCTATTGTTTATATTAAAAATCCAGAATTAATCAGTAAAGAAAATGCACTTAACTAACCTAGAGTTCGTCTAAAAAGTGCCAAAAAAACATCAAGAAGACCCTAGAGTGGATTAAAAAAATATTAATATTGAAAAAGTTGATATATAAATAAATTCTATTTAAAATTTTATAGGATTGTATTTTTATTCATATACTAGTTAATTAATTGGATATCATAATTAAATTTTATGTTAAATTAGTTCTTATTAAATTAAACTATTATTTTTAGTATTTCAAATTATCAATTAAAAAAATATTTTAATAATAATTTTTATAATAAATTTGTTTTGATTAAGTTAAACTAGTATTTTGGGCATTTCAAATAATAATATTTTCATGATTATGTTTTAAAAATTAAAAAACTTAATTACCTATATTTTTATTCAATTATATATTCATTTATATTTTTAATAAAGTATATATTGTTTATTCTTCATACACATTTGTTAAACGAAAAATATATAATTCATTATTTTTTAATTCATCAAAAATTACTTTTCAAAGTGTTTTTAAAAAAATAAATGAAACTAATTAATTAAATTTGATAGCAATTTTATTCTAGCGTTTTTAAATTATGTTAATTATATTCAATATAAATAAAATATTATACAAATACTAATTAAGTAATAATAACTAAAACAAAAAGGAGTTCAACTTTAATTGCTGGAATAATAACTATTTCAGTCAAACTTTCAAAATCATTTTAATTCATTTATCACATTTTCAATATTTTATTGGACTTAGTTTCAAGCTAATTAATTAAATTCTTAGTATATCTTTTCAAATGAAGGTCTCAAGTTAGGATTTAATGCTCTGCACTTAACTATTAATTTGTATATACTAGAGTTTATTGTTTACTTTTAAGGCAACTATTCATCGTTAGTTACTCTTACCATAATGTCATTAGGTTCTAAACCATCAAAAGGAACTTCCTAAGCATATATTTCCCAGAGTAGTGTACCAAAAGCAAATACATCTACTTTTTCGTCATATCCTTTCTTCTAAAAGAGTTCTGGAGCCATATATGTGGGAGTTCCACTAAATTTGGAATTACCTTAGTTCAAGTCAGACTTTTAAGTAAATTTTATTGAATAAATAAAATATTTTAAAAATATAATCTACATATTTTCTGGCTAATCCAAAGTCACATAACTTAATTTTAAATCCTACATCAAGCAAAATATTGTAAGATTTAAGATCACGATGCACTATTTAGTGAGAGTGTAAATAATAAAAAGCATTGATAATTTGTTTAACAATAAATGCTTTTTAAACTCCTGACAAATCTTTTCTAAAATTTATTAAATTGAAGATTAATATTCAGTTTTCTTTTTAATAATATAAATAAAACCTTTATTTATGTAAGTATGTGAATAAGTCTCCTCCTTCAACTAAATCTGTAACAATACACATATTTTAAGGTTATGAAACAATACCCATTAGCAAAATAATATTGGGATGTCTAAGAGTAGCAAGCATGTTTACTTCATTGTTTATTTCATCCAAAACATCTTAAGTAATATTAGGATTGAATATTTTTTTGATAGCAACATCACATCCTTTATACTTACCTTTATGAACTATACTAAATCCACCTTTAATAATTAACAAAAAATGAATTAAAAACCTATTTTAACTACCTGATACTTGCTTGTTTTAAAAATATTTGTATAATTTTATTTTTACCTTATGAAATTGCATCTCTAATTTCCAAATCCTTAAATTCTATTTCCTAAACAGGATCTAAAAGGGGTAAAACTTTAATGAGTCCTCCTTAACCCTAAATATTTTTTCCTTGCGAAAAGGATAACTTTTGTAATTCTTATTCTAATTCTTAAATTTTTTTCTTTTATTAGTTTAATTAGTTATCTTTTTCAACTAATTAGCTCATTATGCTTGCATTATTTGCTTGGCCAAAGGTATTATTACTATTGCTGCTATTACTTCCACCATAAAAAGTATTTCCGAATCCTCCACTGTTAGATGAACTATTGTTGCCAGAAGAACCTATCCTATTGAAACCTGTATTAGACGTGCTGCTTGTATCATTAAACCACAAATTTGCTTTTGAAGAAGTATCTTCCTCGCCAAAGCACTATGCTAAAATAGATTTAAGCTATGGATTTATTTAATTTTCATCAATCAGTAGCTTATCGAATTAGTTACTGAGAGGATTACCTGAGCAATTAAGAAACTATAAGCTCTTCATCTAAAGTAAAGTGTTAGGTAGAGATATAATATTGTTGTTTGCTATATTTAAAACTTTAAGTGTGGATAATTATGAGATTTTAGGGTCTAAAGCATTTAATTTATTATTTGAGAGATCTAATACTTCTAACTATGAAAGTGAATAAATATCACTTGGGAGTATTGTAATTTGCTTAAATGATAAGTCTAACTTAATTTCATTTCCTCTCTTGCAACGTCTTAATATCAACTATATGTCACTCATTTTAATATCAGTAACTTTTTAATAAATTAACTATTTATCTATCTATCTATCTTCTTTTTGAGTTTTTGGTAAAACCTAAATAAATTTTGAGTTCTAATTAATTATCTATAAATTTTTAAATATATTTTCATTAATTAAATAATAACAAACTCGTGTTTTGTTTTAAAAATATGATATAATAAATCATATTTTTTCATAAATATAGATATTTTTTTATTCTATAATTTTTTAAATTTAACGAACAATTTTCACAAATTATCAAATATTTAAAATTTTAGTCAAAACTAATTTTTAGGGGTTGGGGTTGGGGTTGGGGTTGGGG